TAGTTGGCCTCAAGGCTCTATTACCGTTGCTGATATTGAAGCAACGTGGAGAGTAGATGGCCTCAAGGCTGTATCACAGTTGCCTGATATTGAAGCAATGTGCAGAGTAGATGGCCTTACGGCTGTATCACCGTTGCCTGATATTGAAGCAATGTGCAGAGTAGATGGCCTCAAGGCTGTATCACCGTTGCCTGATATTGAAGCAATGTGCAGAGTAGATGGCCTCAAGGCTGTATCACCGTTGCCTGATAATGAAGCAATGTGCAGAGTAGTTGGCCTCAATGCATGTTGCACGACAAGTACTGTTGTGGTAGTAGTGTTGGGTGTAGTGGCAGTAGTTTTGTGTGTAATGGTAGTAGTACAGGGTGGAGTGCTAGTAGTGTTGGGTGTAGTGGTAGGAGTGTTGGGTGTTGTTGTAGTTGTGTTGGGTGGAGTCGTAGTAGTGTTTGGTGGAATCGTAGTAGTGTTGGGTGCAGTGGTAGTAGTACTGGGTGGAGTGGTAATAGTGTTGGGTAGAGTTGCAGTAGTATTGCGTGTAGTGGAAGCAGTGTTGGGTGTAGTGGTAGCAGTGTTGGATGTAGTGGTAGTAGTGTTGGGTGGAGTCGCAGTAGAGTTGGGTGTAGTGGAAGCAGTGTTGGGTGTAGTGGTAGCAGTGTTGGGTGGAGTCGTAGGAGTGTTGGGTGTAGTGGTAGTAGTGTTCGGTGTTGTGGTAGTAGTGTTGGGTGGAGTCGTAGTAGTGTTGGGTGTAGTCGTAGCAGTGTTGGGTGTAGGGGTAGTAGTGTTGGGTAGAGTCGAAGTAGTGTTGGGTGTAGTGGTAGCAGTGTTGGGTGGAGTCGAAGTAGTGTTGGGTGTAGTAGTAGCAGTGTTTGGTGGAGTCGTAGTAGTGTTGGGTGTAGTGGTATTAGTATTGGGTGGAGTCGAAGTAGTGTTGGGTGTAGTGGTAGTAGTGTTGGGTGTAGTGGTAGTAATGTTGGGTGTTGTGGTAGTAGTGTTGTGTGGAGTCGTAGTAGTGTTGTGTGTAGTGGTAGCAGTGTTGGGTGTAGTGGTAGTTGTGTTGGGTGAAGTCGTAGTAGTGTTTGGTGTAGTGGAAGCAGTGTTGGGTGTAGTGGTAGCAGTGTTGGGTGGAGTCGTAGTAGTGTTGGGTGTAGTGGCAGCAGTGTTGGGTGGAGTCGTAGTAGTGTTGGGTGTAGTGGTAGTAGTGTTGTGTGGAGTCGTAGTAGTGTTGGGTGTAGTGGTAGCAGTGTTGGGTGTAGTGGTAGCAGTGTTGGGTGGAGTCGTAGTAGTGTTGGGTGTAGTGGTAGTAGTGTTGGGTGTAGTGGTAGCAGTGTTGGGTGGAGTCGAAGTAGTGTTGGGTGTAGTGGCAGCAGTGTTGGGTGGAGTCGTAGTAGTGTTGGGTGTAGTGGTAGTAGTGTTGTGTGGAGTCGTAGTAGTGTTGGGTGTAGTGGTAGCAGTGTTGGGTGTAGTGGTAGCAGTGTTGGGTGGAGTCGTAGTAGTGTTGGTTGTAGTGGTAGTAGTGTTGGGTGGAGTCGAAGTAGTGTTGGGTGTAGTGGTAGCAGTGTTGGGTGGAGTCGATATAGTGTTGGGTGTAGTGGTAGTTGTGTTAGGTGGAGTCGTAGTAGTGTTGGGTGGAGTCGTAGTAGTGTTGGGTGTAGTGGTAGTAGTGTTGGGTGTGGTGGTAGTTTTGTTGGGTGGAGTCGTAGTAGTGTTTGGTGTAGTGGAAGTAGTGTTGGGTGTAGTGGTAGTTGTGTTAGGTGGAGTCGCAGTAGTGTTGCGTGGAGTCGTAGTAGTGTTGGGTGTAGTGGTAGCAGTGTTGGGTGGAGTCGTAGTAGTGTTGGGTGTAGTGGTAGCAGTGTTGGGTGGAGTCGTAGGAGTGTTGGGTGTAGTGGTAGTAGTGTTCGGTGTTGTGGTAGTAGTGTTGGGTGTAGTGGTAGCAGTGTTGGGTGTAGGGGTAGTAGTGTTGGGTAGAGTCGAAGTAGTGTTGGGTGTAGTGGTAGCAGTGTTGGGTGGAGTCGAAGTAGTGTTGGGTGCAGTAGTAGTTGTGTTGGGTGGAGTCGTAGAAGTGTTGCGTGGAGTCGTAGTAGTGTTGGGTGTAGTAGTAGCAGTGTTGGGTGGAGTCAAAGTAGTGTTGGGTGTAGTGGTAGTAGTGTTGGGTGTAGTGGTAGTAGTGTTGGGTGTTGTGGTAGTAGTGTTGTGTGGAGTCGTAGCAGTGTTGTGTGTAGTGGTAGCAGTGTTGGGTGTAGTGGTAGTTGTGTTGGATGAAGTCGTAGTAGTGTTTGGTGTAGTGGAAGCAGTGTTGGGTGTAGTGGTAGCAGTGTTGGGTGGAGTCGTAGTAATGTTGGGTGTAGTGGCAGCAGTGTTGGGTGGAGTCGTAGTAGTGTTGGGTGTAGTGGTATTAGTTTTGGGTGGAGTCGAAGTAGTGTTTGGTGTAGTGGTAGTAGTGTTGGGTGTAGTGGTATTAGTGTTGGGTGTTGTGGTAGTAGTGTTGGTTGTAGTGGTAGCAGTGTTGGGTGGAGTCGCAGTAGTGTTGGGTGTAGTGGAAGCAGTGTTGGGTGTAGTGGTAGCAGTGTTGGGTGGAGTCGAAGTAGTGTTGGGTGTTGTGGTAGCAGTGTTGGGTCTAGGGGTAGTAGTGTTGGGTGGAGTCGAAGTAGTGTTGGGTGTAGTGGTAGCAGCGTTGGGTGGAGTCGAAGTAGTGTTGGGTGTATTGGTAGTTGTGTTAGGTGGAGTCGTAGTAGTGTTGCGTGGAGTCGTAGTAGTGTTTGGTGGAGTCGTAGTAGTGTTGGGTGTAGTGGAAGCAGTGTTGGGTGTAGGGGTAGTTGTGTTAGGTGGATCGTAGTAGTGTTGCGTGGAGTCGTAGTAGTGTTGGGTGTAGTGGTAGCAGTGTTGGGTGTAGTGGTAGCAGTGTTGAGTGGAGTCGTAGTAGTGTTGGGTGTAGTGGTAGTAGTGTTGGGTGTTGTGGTAGCAGTGTTGGGTGTAGGGGTAGTAGTGTGGGGTGGAATCTAAGTAGTGTTGTGTGTAGTGGTAGCAGTGTTGGGTGGAGTCGCAGTAGTGTTGGGTGTAGTGGAAGCAGTGTTGGGTGTAGTGGTAACAGTGTTTGGTGGAGTCGTAGTAGTGTTGGGTGTAGTGGTAGTAGTGTTGGGTGTTGTGGTAGCAGTGTTGGGTGTAGGGGTAGTAGTGTTGGGTGGAGTCGAAGTAGTGTTGGGTGTAGTGGTAGCAGTGTTGGGTGGAGTCGATATAGTGTTGGGTGTAGTGGTAGTTGTGTTAGGTGGAGTCGTAGTAGTGTTGGATGTAGTGGTAGTAGTGTTGGGTGTAGTGGTAGTTTTGTTGGGTGGAGTCGTAGTAGTGTTTGGTGTAGTGGAAGTAGTGTTGGGTGTAGTGGTAGTTGTGTTAGGTGGACTCGTAGGAGTGTTCGGTGTTGTGGTAGTAGTGTTGGGTGGAGTCGTAGTAGTGTTGGGTGTAGTGGTAGCAGTGTTGGGTGTAGGGGTAGTAGTGTTGGGTAGAGTCGAAGTAGTGTTGGGTGTAGTGGTAGCAGTGTTGGGTGGAGTCGAAGTAGTGTTGGGTGTAGTAGTAGTTGTGTTGGGTGGAGTCGTAGAAGTGTTGCGTGGAGTCGTAGTATTGTTGGGTGTAGTGGTAGCAGTGTTGGGTGGAGTCGTAGTAGTGTTGGGTGTAGTGGTATTAGTATTGGGTGGAGTCGAAGTAGTGTTGGGTGTAGTGGTAGTAGTGTTGGGTGTAGTGGTAGTAGTGTTGGGTGTTGTGGTAGTAGTGTTGTGTGGAGTCGTAGTAGTGTTGTGTGTAGTGGTAGCAGTGTTGTGTGTAGTGGTAGTTGTGTTAGGTGAAGTCGTAGTAGTGTTTGGTGTAGTGGAAGCAGTGTTGGGTGTAGTGGTAGCAGTGTTGGGTGGAGTCGTAGTAGTGTTGGGTGTAGTGGGAGCAGTGTTGGGTGGAGTCGTAGTAGTGTTGGGTGTAGTGGTATTAGTTTTGGGTGGAGTCGAAGTAGTGTTGGGTGTAGTGGTAGTAGTGTTGGGTGTAGTGGTAGTAGTGTTGGGTGTTGTGGTAGTAGTGTTGGTTGTAGTGGTAGCAGTGTTGGGTGGAGTCGCAGTAGTGTTGGGTGTAGTGGAAGCAGTGTTGGGTGTAGTGGTAGCAGTGTTGGGTGGAGTCGTAGTAGTGTTGGGTGTAGTGGTAGTAGTGTTGGGTGTTGTGGTAGCAGTGTTGGGTGTTGTGGTAGTAGTGTTTGGTGGAGTCGAAGTAGTGTTGGGTGTAGTGGAAGCAGTGTTGGGTGTAGGGGTAGTTGTGTTAGGTGGATCGTAGTAGTGTTGCGTGGAGTCGTAGTAGTGTTGGGTGTAGTGGTAGCAGTGTTGGGTGTAGTGGTAGCAGTGTTGAGTGGAGTCGTAGTAGTGTTGGGTGTAGTGGTAGTAGTGTTGGGTGTTGTGGTAGTAGTGTTGAGTGGAGTCGTAGTAGTGTTGGATGTAGTGGTAGCAGTGTTGGGTGTTGCGGTAGTAGTGTTGAGTGGAGTCGTAGTAGTGTTGGGTGTAGTGGTAGCAGTGTTGGGTGTAGTGGTAGCAGTGTTGGGTGTTGTGGTAGTAGTGTTGATTGGAGTCGTAGTAGTGTTGGGTGTAGTGGTAGTAGTGTTGGGTGTAGTGGTAGCAGTGTTGGAAGTTGTGGTAGTAGTGTTGAGTGGAGTCGTAGTAGTGTTGGGTGTAGTGGTAGTAGTGTTGGGTGTAGTGGTAGCAGTGTTGGGTGTAGTGGTAGCAGTGTTGAGTGGAGTCGTAGTAGTGTTGGGTGGAGTCGAAGTAGTGTTGGGTGTAGTGGTAGCAGTGTTGGGTGGAGTCGATATAGTGTTGGGTGTAGTGGTAGTTGTGTTAGGTGGAGTCGTAGTAGTGTTGCGTGGAGTCGTAGTAGTGTTGGGTGTAGTGGTAGTAGTGTTGGGTGTAGTGGTAGTTTTGTTGGGTGGAGTCGTAGTAGTGTTTGGTGTAGTGGAAGTAGTGTTGGGTGTAGTGGTAGTTGTGTTAGGTGGAGTCGTAGTAGTGTTGGGTGTAGTGGTAGCAGTGTTGGGTGGAGTCGTAGTAGTGTTGGGTGTAGTGGTAGCAGTGTTGGGTGGAGTCGTAGAAGTGTTGGGTGTAGTGGTAGCAGTGTTGGGTGTAGTGGTAGCAGTGTTGGGTGTAGTGGTAGCAGTGTTGGGTGGAGTCGTAGTAGTGTTGGGTGTAGTGGTAGTAGTGTTGTGTGGAGTCGTAGTAGTGTTGGTTGTAGTGGTAGCAGTGTTGGGTGTAGTGGTAGCAGTGTTGGGTGTAGTGGTAGCAGTGTTGGGTGTAGTGGTAGTAGTATTGGGTGTAGTGGTAGTAGTGTTGGGTGTTGTGGTAGCAGTGTTGGGTGTAGGGGTAGTAGTGTTGGGTGGAGTCGCAGTAGTGTTGGATGTTGTGGTAGTAGTGTTGTGTGGAGTCGTAGTAGTGTTGGTTGTAGTGGTAGCAGTGTTGGGTGTAGTGGTAGCAGTGTTGGGTGGAGTCGTAGTAGTGTTGGGTGTAGTGGTAGTAGTGTTGGGTGTTGTGGTAGCAGTGTTGGGTGTAGGGGTAGTAGTGTTGGGTGGAGTCGCAGTAGTGTTGGGTGCAGTGGAAGCAGTGTTGGGTGAAGTGGTAGCAGTGTTGGGTAGAGTCGTAGTAGTGTTGGGTGGAGTCGCTGTAGTGCCAGGTATAGTGTAAGTAGTGTTCGGTGTAGTGTTAGTAGTGTTGGGTGTAACGGTAGTAGTCTTGGGTGTAGTGGTAGTAAGTGTTTGGTGTTGTGGTATTAGTATTGGGTGGAGTCGTGGTAGTGTTGGGTGTAGTGGTAGGAGTGTTGGGTGCAGTGGTAATAGTGTTGGTTCCAGTGTTAATTGGGAAGTTGACATTAGTATTAATGCCGAGGATACTATCATTGATAGGGGCAATTGTAGTTATGATTGATGTTACTGTATAATATTGGTCGCTGTGGCATTCATATTGAATGTTGTACATCCATGAATATATCCTTGCCGTTTCTACTGGTCTAACGTGCCTACATAGGCGCGAATGAGTGGGTTCTGGTAGGCTCTCAACAAACGTATAGTAATGGTAATTATAAGGTTTCTTTTAAGGCTAAATACCATACTCATGTATGCTTAAAGAGCGATATCATTAGATCGGTGTGATTCAATTTTCATTCTCATCTACCAGAGGAGTATACAACCCAGGCTGCCTGCGACAGTTTCTCGCAAAGAACAATGAAGAACATTGCTGAGGTTGAATTCTTTTCAGGGAGTCACCAGTATTAAAATACGGATAAATATTATTAAAGCCTGTACATGTTAAATATTGTAAACAGGCTGTACATTATGTTGATTTCTAAGAAATATACAACTCAATAATACACTGCAGGGAGAATAAACCACTCGGGCCTGCGCTTTGCTCTCTGGGTGGCCCGCGATTCGCTGTGCAGAGTTGCGTCCCTTCGGCATGCCAGAAACCTACGATTGTGGGTTCGAATCCCGGTTCGCCCCGATTATGTTTCTAGGTTTGTCAGCACCATACCCGTGCTCATGGGTTTCACCGAAGTGGTAAACGTCTGAGACCTGCATCACTTCGGGTTTTCCTCCCACATCAAGCTGACACGCCGTGATATAACTAGAATACTGTTAAAAGCGGCGTTAAACCCAACTCTCTCCAAATCAAACCAAACCTCTACCTCTCTCTCTCTCTCTCTCTCTCTCTCTCTCTCTCTCTCTCTCCTACGTTGAAGGCAACCGTCTTTCGCATTATTAACTCGCATTATATCTATGATTTTGATGGTCACATTATTTAAGGTACACTTTAAAAAATGAAGGAATATGGGTTTGCCGTTTCAAGATACTGTTAATTATTCTGTAGGGAGTCTGTGGCAGCAATTGTTCCAAGCACCCAACGCTGCCCTTATCAGCAGGCTAGTGAGGAAAAGATGGTAACAATGTGTGACCTAGCTGATTGCATGGGTGTCGTCGTGTCAAACTGTCCACCATTGTCTTGCCAGGCCAAAACTCGATTAGGCCTACTTTCAGGACGCAGTCATGTTGCTGAAATAACCCTGCCTGTGGGATAAAACAATATTAACCCACTTCGTTTGTTCAATGAAAAAAGGAGTAGGCTCTCAACGAAAAGCTCTGAACTTTGAAGTTCTGCTTGTCGGTGATTTTCTTTATGATCAAAGAGGGGTAATCGTGGTTGTTTGTACAAGAGTTCATTCCCTGGGCTTAACTCCGCGAAGTGTCTTGCTTCAAACTCCACAAATAATCGTCAGTTAAATGGAGCTATCCGCGTAACACAAATCAAGAGTTATGTCCCTTGCCCCAAAGGAAGGTAAGTCTGCTTAGCAAATAGTAAATAGGTTTTGCAGTTGTTTCTCTTTGACCATGAACGGGACGGGTCCTCAGATCCAATGAGTCGAGTCGTATCGATATTGTGTTGTCTCCCCTAGACCGTCAACAAAGGCGATTTCAGTTACGTGAATTAAAACAACTAGCACATTTAGATATTCCTCTCCCCCCCAACCACCAACCACCCTTTATGTGTATTTTTGTCTTTCAGACATTGATTTGTCTTCTGAAAAAATTATCGAAATGGACCGCGTGGTAGTTAGGAGTGGGTTTATTTATGGTCAAAGGGAGGTAATCGTGTTTGTTTGTACAAGAGTTAACTTCCTTATCCTAACTCCGCACAGTGTCTTTGCTTCAAACTTCACACATTGCCGACAATCAAAGGGAGCTAAGCGAGTAAAACATATCAAGAGTTATGTCCCTTGTCCCAAAGGGAGGTAAGTCTGCTTAGCAAATCGTAAACAGGATTTACAGTTGTTTCCCTTTGACCATCAACGGCACGGGTCTTCGATCCAATGAGTCGTATCGATATTGAGTTGTCTCCCTTAGACCGTCAACCGAAGGCATTCCTTCTCAGCGAGAAGCATCTTCTTATATTCCCCTCCCCCAACCACCAACCACCCTTTATGCGTATTTTTGTCTTTCAGACATTGATTTGTCTTTTGAAAAAATAATCGAAATGGACCGCGTGGTAGTTAGGAGTGGGTTTGTTTATGGTCAAAGGGAGGTAATCGTGTTTGTTTGTACAAGAGTTAACTCCCTTATCCTAACTCCGCACAGTGTCTTTGCTTCAAACTTCACACATTGCCGACAATCAAAGGGAGCTAAGCGAGTAAAACAAATCAAGAGTTATGTCCCTTGTCCCAAAGGGAGGTAAGTCTGCTTAGAAAATCGTAAATAGGATTTACAGTTGTTTCCCTTTGACCATCAACGGCACGGGTCCTCAGATCCAATGAGTCGTATCGATGATGAGTTGTCTCCCTTAGACCGACAACCGAAGACGTTCCTACCCAGTGCGGGACACCTTCGTTTTCTCATCCGATATCATCGCAGCCACTAAGGCTGACTGGGTCTAAGTCGTATGAGGCATTGCATAAATCTACCCGACGTAGAACTCACTTTACAGAAATTTACTCAGGCACGCAGTGCTAACAATAAGCGTTTCCAGTCCCCGTTCTAACTGAAACCGGCTTAGCGTAACACAAACTTTTCCTTTCTAAGAAAGATGGCGACCACGCGATGATTTAGCACAAACTGCAATGGATTTTATACAGTGTTATAACTCATACACTAAAAACAATGACACAAAAAAAGAACGCAAATTTTAACAGATCCCAGTAGAAGGCCAGCATTTAGAAGATTGTCCTTGAAGGTACAACAATTTAAAGCATGTCCAGCTTCACCTAGATCGGCGGTTAATGAACCAAAGAATATGCGGTGGAAACCCCGATTAAAACAGGAGGAATCGATATTCACTAACCGAGAAATTGCGGAAGGGTAAATCGGTTTGGTACTAAATTGATTGGAGTCCCCCCACGCCCCCAAAACGCTGGTTCTCAAACCCTGACATATGGTTGTGGGATGCTCTGTCGTATAACATGACGGCCTTATTTTAAGATGGGGATCGACTTTGATTTAGAGACGAAACCAAACAGAATTAATTTGAACGACGTTCGCAAGATCTTATTTGATGGTCACGTGGACGAAACTATAGTTCCTGCCAGTGCTGGTCGACGTCCTGTCGGACTGACATGACCCGTTTGTTCTCTATTGATGTAGGTATATCTAGAACAATAATCGTTAAATGCGTCGGTACTTGAACAGAAACTAAATGTTTATTCTTATTTTGAGAAGCCATATATTACAAAACAGATGCCGTCCGTATCACTATCAACAGAACTGCAAGTGGCTGCTGGCCGGATATCGACGCCGTCAAAATCGTAGGGAACACCGGTCGTACTGACTCGTGCCGCCGTCACTGATGCAGCCGCTAGTTTCTGTCCATGGGAATACACAGTGTATAGGTGCGGCATATATTTATTTTGTGGTTTGTTTCTTGTTTAAGCCGCCCTCAGCAATATTCCAGCTATATGGGGGCTACCTGTAAATAATCTGTTGTAGGGGCTAGGCTAGATAAAGCAATGAAAAAGGTCACCGGGTATGACACTGTCCGATCAATGAAAGGTGTGTGTATGTGTGTGTGGGGGTGTGTGTGTGTGTGTGTGTGTGTGTGTGTGTGTGAAACGTCTTGTTTCAGCTATTGTTTGATGACATTGATGTTTGCACATTATTAGTGAGAGAGTTGGCTAATCTTGGGATTCGAACCCACAAACACAAGGTTCTGGCACAACTGAAGAGCGAAGCGTGGAAACTTTTTTTAGAGGCGGGATATGTTTTTATTGCTTCAAGACGTACAATTTATTTCTCTGAAAGGAAGACCTGGACATTTTTCCACAACACACATCCATCGTATCCGGCGAACATTTATTTTTTCAAGCCTGAGGCAAAATAGTATTTTCTGTCGACTGCAATGACAGATGAAGCGACCGCTCGTCTTGTTTTGTGTGGGTGGGGTGGGGTGGGTGGGTGGGTGGGGGGTTAAATTGATCCATAAATATGGGTGAAACAGTTTGTACTCTAAAGAGTGGGTATGGTTTTACGCCGATTTTGTAATATTCGAGTGATGTCACGGGCGGGCCACACCAGAAATGGGCTTCACACATTGCATCCATGTAGTACACTGGAAAGAGATAAGGGGTTATGTAATATAACCCAAAGATCACCACACTATTTGGCAATGCAAATATAAAACGTCGAGGCTCAATTGGGCTCGAAAGGTATAGTGATGAAAATTAAAGGAATGGGTCACTAAGAATTAGTGGTAAAACCAGGTATACCAAATTTTCAGATTCCAACTGGTGGATTATTTGAATGGTTTGATATATACAAATAAATCATCACCTCTTTTCTGAGGTATAGTGGGGATAGGTGGAACACAGCTTGACCTACTCAGACCTCGATTTCAATTCTACAATCTTTTCTCCGAATGCCACATTTTGACTATCAAGGCAACCCTGACTTACTTAACCCCTTATCAGCCCTGATCGACTGAAGTGAGCGAGATGGTTTTACGCAGCTTTAAGAAATATTCCAGTAATATCGCGGCGGGGGACACCAGAAATGTGCTTAGCACATTGTGAAAATGTGTCGAATCGAACCCGAGTCTTCAGCGTGACGAGCGAACGCTTTAACCACTAGTCTAATCCACGGCGCTTCGACTGAAACAAATCGAGTTTTTTATCCAGTTACTGAGCATTTCAAATTCGTCTCCGAATGCCGGTGGTCACTGAAGAAAAGACATTTGTCTTAAAACAGTATAGAAAAAATGGGATGTCTATGTAAAAATCGATAAAATAGTTACACTACTGGTAACCATAGAAACCCAACTCTGGTTAATGGTGTAACAGGAAAAGGTTTTAACAATTTGCATAAGGCATCGCCACTGGTCGACTGGAACAAACTGAATATTAAGGCAATGTCTGACTCGTTTTAACACAACTAGTTTCTTACACGTTTAACTCAGTGGGGATTCCGGGTTAGAATTGGACCCCAGTGATGGTCGTAAGGGCCGACTCAGCGGATTGTGTGATCAGGCTCAGGATTAGTTGTGATCGTATAAAACTTATCCCAATTGCGTGGATTGATGCTCATAATGTCTATCACTGGATTGACTTGTGCAAACTGGACTATTTACAGACCGCCGTCATATAGCTGGGATACACCTGAGTGCGGCCTTAAACAAAGTCCAATCAAACAGAATCCAACCCTTATAGACAGACAGACCTCTCTCGTCATCTGCCTCCGCTGGAAAAAAAGACAGATCTGACAAATTGTACGTCCACTTCATTCAAGTGTTCGATCGTTTTACATCTGAGAAATCGCAAAGAACAATGAGTGAGTGAGTGAGTATGGTTTTACGCCGCTTTTAGCAATATTCCAGAAATATCACGGCGGGGAACACCAGAAATGGGCTTCACACATTGTGCCCATGTCGGGAATCGAACCCGGGTCTTCGGCGTGACGAGCGAACGCTTTAACCACTAGGCTACCCGACCGCCACCAAAGAACAATGAAGAACATTGCCGAGGTTGAATTCTATTCAGGTAGTCATCAGTATTAATATACGGATAAATATTATTAAAGACTGTACATGTTAAATATTGTAAACAGGCTGTACATTAACGACTCGTGGTCGTTGTTTATCGTACAATAATAAACCTCTCTCTCACTCTCTCAAATAATTTGTGTTAAATACTCATGTGTTAAATACTTCAAATTAATGATGTTCACTCGTGTGTTAAAATCTTAAAAATAAACGTTTCCACTTTCATGTATTCGTCAAATACTTCCAACTCATCTTGGTTCATTCATACGTTTAAACTTAAAAATAAACTTATACTTATGTGTTAAATTATTCCAAATAAACTGTTTAATTGCATGTTAAATACTTCAAAATAAACGGCGTTAATACGTGGTCTTCAAAATAACCGTTCACTACTAATGTGTTAGACGCTTTAAAATAAACAGTGATTTCCTAAATGTAAATACTTCAATATATAGCGTTTTCACTTATATGTTACATACTGCAAAATAAACGTGCTAAAATTTGAGCATTTCGTTTCATCTAAAAAAATGTTACTTATCAAGTAAATAGGTTGTTATCTATATATTTGAAAAAAAGAAGATGTTCTCTATCTGTCAGCTGATACTCTTTTCAAAATCTCCGTCCGTAAGTGATATATTATTTATGTGCAGAACTTAATTGACAGGGAAGAATAGATTGCCTGATCGTCTGTTTTCAAAATATATCTTCGCAACATTATGAATTAATAATGAATGTAATTTGGTTATTTTCCATTAAAAAACCTCAAGATTAGTATAGATTAGAGAAGTCATAACTTATTGTACTAGGTCAGTATTTAATTTGTATTTCCTGTCCAAATAGATGTTTAAAAAATCCATAGCGTTCTGATCACGGCTTGGCTTTGTTCGTAAAGTCGCAATGTTTCTATCGCAGACTAAAGTAAAACCTAGTTTGTGATGCATTGTGGGTAACATACCAACGCAATGGCGGACGTAAACAACATTGGGCACCTGCTATTGTGATTGCCGGTAAAATGATCTACCTTGTGAACACGTAAGTATTGTGTGTTAAAGAAATGGCTAGTCTTGTGACATAGGTTTCACTGTTCTCTTGAATCGATATATTCTGATGATTGATCGTCGAAAATGTAATAGAAACATAGATAGTTCTTGATGCTAACTGTTGCGCTGAAGGATAATTTCGACATGGAAAATCTGACCAGAGTATCTCACTTTAGACTGAAATTCTTGTATTTCATTAGCAGGCATGATTAATGTATGTTCATGATTACTTAGGGCGTGCTTACCCTTTTTGCGAACACCTGGTGTCTCACAGATTTTCAGTGATCCATTCATATTATTTTTTACCTTTCAGATCCAATGAAATCTCTGCAGATAATCGAGACTGATTACTCTCTGGTGTCGACATTATATCATTACTGTAGCAAGATTGGAGCACCAAAATATCTTGTTTAAAACATCTTGCTACAGCTTCATGGAGCACCACAATATCTTGTTTAGAAAAGCTTGCTATAATAAGTAAAAAGCATCAATGCCAGAAAATAATCAGTCTTCATCATCTGCAGAAACAGATTCCATGTGTCGTCCGATTTATTTCTTGGTTTTCAGATTTGTTTGTGAAAAACCGTTGTTTGTAGGCTGGGAAAAAAAGAAAAGAAAAAAAGAATTCAGATATATATTTTCTTCTTCAAAACCTCATTTGGATATGTTGCCATGTGTTCAGTGTCAGCTGAGCCATGTGACCATGTTTCGTCATTAAACAGGGGCAGTGGGGTAGCCTAATTGGTTAAAGCTTTTGCTTGTCATGCCGAAGACCCAGGTTTCGATTCCCGACATGGGTACAATGTGTAAAGCTTATTTCTGGTATTGCTGGAATATTGCTAAAAGCGGCGTAAAACCATACTCACTCACTCACACACTCACTCACTCACTCACTCACTTGTCATTTAACATGTTGAACTTTTTGAAACCTATTGTCTTTCAGTTTAGCATATATTTTACAGAATTGTTTAGTGGTGAACACATAAATTTGCATTTGGTGGAACAAAAAATAATACTGATCAGATTTTTAGTGTTTGCTGAATCTGCAAACCAATATTATTTAAAGTGTTGCCTAATGTATGTTCAGGTGCCTTGACCAGTCTGTGTGAGCAATGACCATGCCACCATCAGGTGTAAAGAGTGAAATGGATGAGGATGCACTCATTGAGGCAGAGATCAGACAACAGCTGGAGATCATCGACCTCGACAGTGATGATCCCAACAACAACATTGATGACTATCAAAGCATTGAGAGGCCTCTCCAGAACTTGGAGGACAGAAATGGAGATACGGTTCGCCATATGAAAACTTACATGCTAATTGATAAAAGAATATATATCCGCATTAAAGTCGAGCATGAAATGTTAAAAGCAAAAGGTTCAGGGGATTCAAAGATTAAAAAACTATTGGGCAAATATCAAGGACCCCTGGACTTTAGTTTCAAACTCTGAAATCTGACATGAAAGTAATTGCTATTTTGCTGTTTGATGTTTAGTGTAGATATATCTTTTGATTTGTATTTTGCATTTACTGTTTATGTGTAACTGTAATAACCAACTATCTAATTTATGCTCACCATAAAAAGGATAAACTTCTTATTTATCAATTTTGGTAGGAATATTTACATCCTGCAAAATGTGTTTGAGCTAAAACAATACTTGTATTTACCATGTACATTATGAGAAATGTGTGCTATTTCCACTTAGTTTACGTGCAACCAAATGTTTTCCCCTCGACTAGTTACGTTCTTAGTTCTGAATAATTAGGCAATAAACTGCCATTTCATGTACATGTGTGTATGAACTGACCTTATAACTGCATTAAAATCATGCACTCAAAAACAGCTCCATTTCTGTGAAAGGGGTGCTCAACACAACAATCACAGATCTGCACCAAATGGCACTTAACTGAACTTTTGTGAGGACACAACGTATAAAACAAACTGATTTCTCTGCTCACTTTTGTTTGTTATATCAATGTTCTACTGTTGTATCAAATATCACTGACAGTGACACAGGGCTAGCTCGAGTTATATTTTTATTACCTAGATTGGTTTTGATCAAATAAAATGCAGAGATTCTGCAGTCAGTGTACAGGATTAGCTTCTTCATTACAGGCTCCACCTTCTCAATGGAAGAAGCGACTGCACAACTGGTTTTGATTGAGTGTAGTCAATGGAGCCTGTTTAGGTGAAAATTACAGTATTCATCATTCAGTTGACCATTAAACTCATATCTCTGCTAATGTCCTTTATGTCTCCCTGCAGCTTGCTTTGGATGAGGCTCACGATTATTTGAGTCTACTCCAGCAGCAGACAGAGAGGTTCGAGAGGGAACTGACTGAGTGCGATGACCTCATCAACTACCACAACCCAGGTAAGACCAAGGGAAGCAACTCTCACATGTGTCATTCAGAAAAACATGCCAAGCAGCACATCTGATTAATTCAAAGACGTATAAATATATATTGTATATACGTCTTTCGTTAATTAAATATTTATTTTTTTCTCTCTCCGTACTCATGTTTCAGTTAATCATGTTAATAGTAAATAAAAAATAAATTTTGCAAAATATATAATTCAATGTAACCATGGATGCCACGATTTCAGATCAGTTCATTTTCTCGGATATTGATTGTTAAGTTATCCAAAATGTCTTAAAGATATGTTTTTCTAATTTGGTGATGATATAGTAGAATGTCCTATCAGTAGTTGGGTTAAAAAATGCAAACAACCATAAAGGCAGACCTACCACTAGTCATGCTAGTACCAATGTAAACCCAATGAACTATTTGTTACAGACAATGGGGCTGTGAAGGAGGTGGATCTTGGTGACCTGGACGAGGAAGCCAATAGAGCCGGGGTAGATCCAGCTGAACTCAGGAGGAAGGTGGGTTCATAAATACATACTGTAAACAATGGTGAATACTTAACTGAACATGTATTCACAATATTCCTCCGTCACTCGTAAATACATATGGCCTATTTGCAGTGCTGTCTCTATTATTAACTCAAGCCACAGCCTGGTTCCAGCGTTGGGGAAACCAGTGATTACTGTGACCTACGAGCACTCCGATTTCATCACACAGAACACATGTGAAGATCCGGGTTAGAATTGGTCTTCAGCAACCCAAACTTGCCATGAAAGGTGACTGGGCTTGTTGTAAGGGGCGACTAACAGGATCGGGTGGTGAGGCTCGCTGACAGGGTTGATCATTTTATTGTATCCCAATTGCGTGGATCGATGCTCATGATGTTAACCACTGGACTGTCTGGTCCAGACTCAATTATTTACAGACCGCCATCATATAGCTGGAATATTGATGAGTGCGGCGTTAAACAACAAACAAACAAACTTTACACAGCAATGTTTCTCATGCAGCATGTGAGATAGCATTGCTGACTCTACTCTACACATTACTACACATGGTTGGTTCACACAGTGCTCATGAACAGAATGATCATGGCTTGCATGAGTTACCGTATTTTCTTGAGTATAGTGCGCACTTTTTTTCGAAAAAACACAGCTGTGTAGAAGGGGGTGCGCATTATACACGAATTATGAGTTTGATGTTTTTTTCCCCCATGGAAAGACACTACCGTGAGCGCGTAACACCGGAAATACCATGTCAACAAATCCATACTGAAGTACGCAAAATAATCATGTAATTACACTGTCTGGCTATAAAAAGTGTTCTTTGTATATCTGGACTTATGTTTGTAACTTATTTCATTGATTTTATTCAAAATTCCTTATAATATTGTTTTTATTAATTTCGGCGAAATCGTGTGTGAAGCGATCGGAAGATCGCACAACTCACCGTTATTAACAGCAAACATGGTCAGAATACCGCTATTGACGCCTTGAAACAAACTTTAGTTGACAGAGAATGGATACATATATCATAAATGACATACTTTGACTCGTTAAAAGTCATATTTGTTTTTGTTTGACGATTCTATGTCAACATGAAATTCTCGCGATCACGTGATCACGTGCGCGTGAGCCTTGACGGTGACTGGTCAGACATGTTCCATGTAAAAAATAATACCCGGGAATAGCGATCAGCTGCTTCGCTTAGGGTTATTATTATTTTAAATATGTTTAGTAAAGGTTGCATATAATTAAGAAAATAATGGAATATATTATTCCTGATAAATAAAATAGTTTCAGATACAATTGTTGCCGATCCTTGCATTAAAAAATCTTATAAAGTTATATCATTGGGTGTGTCTTGACCGAATCACCGGTCGATTCCAAGAAAACGTGTGTACAGCTGATTGCTAAAAAGGGTACGGTGTAAAAAATTTCTGCGCATAATATTCAAATTTCTTTTTTTCCAAAATATTGAACCCGCTAGAGGGGGGTGCGCATTATACATGGGTGCGCACTATACTCAAGAAAATACGGTATTCTTGGCCTCATTTCCTAGCTAACAAACAGTAGACACACTTCACTATTACACTGCAAACTGACAGATTTTATTCAGGGGTGATGAAGGAACATGTACACAAACCTGTGAAGTATTGATGTTGAGGAATGCAACACTATTGTTATTCCGTTAGGGGTTGAGTGGCCCTGTGCTCTCAGGTTTAGGACCACCTCTGTGGTGTAGTGAATAGACTGTCTGCCCAAAGAGCATAAAGTTGGTGGTTCAAACCCCTGTCTGCCTGTTACCAAGAAACATTCAGCATAAACAAGCGAAAGTGTTGTATTTTGTATCAGATTTTGGAGGAGATAGAAAGAGAAGATGAAATAGAGGATTTATCTGATGTGGATAGTCCTCAGGAGGCAGGACAGAGTGGTGTCCCTTTATTTGTTACAAGCGAAGTTGAGCTCCTCACAGGGAAGCAGGATGACGGGACAGACAGAGCAGGGGAGTTTGAGGAACAAAGCACTCTTGAACCAGGTATGATACCCAGTTTATGTGAACTATTAATTTCTTCAAGCCTTTATTTGATGTCTTAGATATTGGGCAGTTGTCAAGGTCTGTAGGACTTGTGCCAATTTCTATCACTGGTACCGTTAAAGTTCTTCCTTCAATAGTCGGCTTAAGGCTTCTAAGCATTAGGTTATTATTTTTGAAACGTACCACGTATTGACAGCTTGAGACCCCCATGCTGATGCCTCAGACCCCAAAAGCTTATTACTGAGACCCCTGTGGCCTCAGAAAATCCATCACAACACTGACATTTATATGAACTGGTGACTTACTGTCCCTTATTTAAAAAATTCCAATGTTTTGTGCAATTTTAGTTTAGTTTCTGGTATATTTGGAACTTGTCTGTGGACAATGTAGAAACACATTTTACTTGGTCAGCACACTTACTTGTTGAGATGTGCATGGCATTTCCATTCTTTGATTGATTGTCTCATTCCTCCTCTCATCATGACAAGGTGATGGTGTGGTGGCGGTGGTTGATGAGATTCAAACTCAGGAACAGTTCTTTAAACAACAGCTGCAGGAGATGGACATAAAGTACAGACAGAGAGAGGCAAAATGGAAACAGGTACAAGGATAGATTATATAACTGGCAGTGATATTGTCAAATCTATAAATGAAATAAAAAACCCATCTCTGGCAAGTGACTGATATGGTCACTCTCGAGTATAGTGATATCATATGTTACCACCGTCAAAGTTCAAGGCCAGTAAAACATGTACAGTTAACTATGGTTATAATGAACTCAAAGGGACCACTAATTTTAGTTTGTTATAACAGTTGTTCGTTATAAGCATATATACAGCATATACACAGCAAGTGGCTGAGACAAAGAAAATAGTTTGTTGGTTATAAGCGTGTTTGTAATAAACATAGTTTACTGTATTACTCAGATTTCTGAACTTTTACCATGACTATTGTTTTAATTCCTTTATTTATCTCTTGGAGGACACTGAGACAAGACGGAGAGAGGAGGAAGAACGAGAGAATGTGGAGAATGAGAGAAGGAGAGAGATAATGATACAGCATAAGCAGGAAGAAGAGACTTTGGCTCAACACAAAAAGGTCTGGGACAGTGGTCTTAGTGTTTCTTGATCAGTTCTCTGGGGAATATAAGTAGAAGCAGCAGCTTGGGCTGTTGCAAGAGCTAACTAATGAGTATCCGGAGTTTACAATCTCATTACAAACAGATCTTTTACAATGTGTGTTCTCCGTGCTGTGTGAAGACGTGATAACATCATATACTTGTTTGTTTGTTTTGTTTGTTGTTAACTCCGCACTCAGCAATATTCCATCTATATGATGGTGGTCTGAAAATAGTCAAGTCTGGACTAGACAATCCTGTGATGGGCTGGGACAGTGGTCTTAGTGTTTCTTGATCAGTTCTCTGGGGAATATAAGGTTCTCATTAGAAGCAGCAGCTCGGGCTGTTGCAAGAGCTAACTAATGAGTATCCGGAGTTTACAATCTCATTACAAACAGATCTTTTACAATGTGTGTTCTCCGTGCTGTGTGAAGACGTGATAACATCATAGACTTGTTTGTTTGTTTTGTTTGTTGTTAACTCCGCACTCAGCAATATTCCATCTATATGATGGTGGTCTGAAAATAGTCAAGTCTGGACTAGACAATCCTGTGATGGGCATCATGAGCATCGTTCCACGAAATTGGGATTCGATGACATGCATCAACCAAGTCAGTGAGCCTGACCATCCCATCCCGTTACTTGCCTCTTACAACAAGCAGAGTCGCCTTTTATGGCAACTAAGCATGGGTTGCTGAAGACCAATTCTAACCTGTATCTGACACCACAGAAGGTCGTGTCAGGTGAAATCTGGGTCAAATTGGACTGCCCAATCTTAATGAATGATTTGAGAGTTCTTGAGCCAATCATTTCTTTACTGACTCAATTCAGAATGATGTATTTTAACAAAGGAAACCCATACAGAACAGAAATATTCCTTTGATGGAATTGCCATTTGTGTGTAGATGCCATGGCACTCAGAAATGACAGAGCATATAAAGTGTCCACACTATGAATGTTGGGGGTTTATTTTATACTTTCTGATCTGATCTGATTTTTAGCTTGGTTTCCATATCCAGAAATTTAGATATGCTGGTCTGAATACTTCACTGACTCATACCTGACTGAAGTTCACCTGACATACAACAAGATGTTAAAAGATGGAACTTGTTGGTACCCTGCCTGGCACACAGTGTTAAGGGGATAAAATATGAACTGGTCAGCCTGCATTCAGTATAATATGATGTATCTCAAAGGGCTATCACTGTAAAACCAGCATAAGTCCAGACTAGTACAAGCAGCCACACACAGGCATGAAAGCACAATGCTATAAATAATCTTGAATGCAGCATTAAAACCTGTTTCACATCACCTCACACATGATGAAGAAGGGTGTTTTGGTAAGAGGAAGGAGTTTTCCATGTTATTATTTTTTTTTCAAATTTTATATTTTAGATTGCAGCAGAAAAACTTGAGGCAGAAATTGAAGAAAAACGAAAAGTCATCAGTGACGAGGTTAAAACATTTGAAGTAAGTGAACAAATCTTTCATATTTGATCTTATCCTGACTCATACTTACTGCTTATCTCTACTCTATTCGTAGTGGAAACATCCTGAACTAAGTTCCTGGAGAACAGAGAAAACATCTCACCGAAACACAACCCTGGACTACGCATGCGTGCAGGTTGTTCGCCACTCTCTTGTTTTCGCACCAACCGAGTGATTGAGGAAAATTTCCTGAGCTTTGTAATCTGAGCCATCCTATCAAAGTTAAAACTTTTTCATAAAATATTTTGTTCAGATTACATTCTTCTTACCTTAACTATCATATCTAAAGAATATTTTTAACTTTTGGCCTATATTTTTCCACAAAATTTGGCTTAAAATGTGACACTTTTTTTTTTTCTATATATGAAAGTGTGAAGCCTCCAGCCTTCACACGGCCCAGACCTTCAGTCAGCCCCGAGGGTTCACACAGTCTTAAGGGTTTGCGCAAAGTCATGGGTTCGTGCAGGGGTTCGCGCAGACTAACTACACACATAAAGCCTTCACGCAGCAACCTATCTACACTGAGGTGCAGACCTTCGCACAGCTACCAGCCCTTCCTTGCACACAGGCCCTAGGGTTCGCTCAGCCTGCCATGTGTACACAGCTCACTTTGGACTCCGACTTAGTCGCCAATGTTCCGCAACAAGTTATACCTGCAATGCAACAACATCACACAATATCTAAGGATTCCAATCAGCATCCGTCTTCATCTTGCTCTGAGGAGAGTGTACAGACTTCCCGCCCTCCATCTACAGCTCTGAGCCCTTTTACAGGATGTGTTCGAGCCACCCTTTGAAGAAGAGTGACAATCTACTGATCATACCCCCATTTAACTGGATCATGAATTGCTTGCCTGGATTGCAGATAGATTACCTATCTCATTGCCATCTAGAGAGTCATCATTATTGTATTAAGGGGGAAGAGATCAACACTGACTATTCCACCAATCGAGCCTGTCTCTCAAGTCGCCAAGAACCTTGATATATCGTTCGCCAAGGCTACCAGATCACAAGGGCTGCTGATTCGGGGGTTTTAGATGAATAAATTCCCTATACACCATATGTTATCCTTTTTTCGGGCTCCAGAGATCGACCAAGGTTATAGGTCTGGTTCTAAGAGCAGATCCTACTGGGTGGAGGATAAGAAGTTAGCACAACTTGACAACTAGACAAACCTTCTTCAGCCTGACTATGTCATGTTCAACGAGGCAATTCTTAATGAACTCAACGATCAACAAAACAATGTCCAGGAAATAGCTACTTTCCAGTTTCAAGGACAACATTTCTAGTGGGTAGTCCTGCCCTTTTCCTCACGAGGGAAAACCTGATTCAGGTACCAGAAGACTGGTGGGCCAAGATTCAAAGCTATCTACAGACCACTATTCACAAACAGATTTAAGTCTATCAGTGGCAGGTAGTCACTTCAGGGATATGGTCCCCACAAGAAAAACTACCGCATGTAAATTATCTGGAGTTCAAAACCGTCATCAGAGTGATAACACATTTGGCCCCACTACTCAAACACAAGTTCTTAATGATAAGGAGACAACTGAACTGTGGCCTTTTACATCAATCTCCCAGGAACGACCAGATCTGCAACCCTTCTGAGATTAATATTTCAACTGTTCACACTGACAGACAAGACACATCCCAGGAGCACTAAATGTCCTAGCTGATGCTCTATCCAAGACATCTAAACCAATTCCAACAGAATGGATGCTCCACCTGGAGGCACTCCAGCCGATAACAAGACTTATTTGCAACAAGGTTCACAAACAAACGACTTTCGTCTCACCAGTACCGGACCAGTAAATTGGTCAGTAGACACCCTGGCAATATCCTGGGAAGGGCTACATGCTTACGCATTCCCACCACCGGCACTAATTCTGCTTATCATTCAGAAAATCAGACAGACCAACAACCAATTGCTTCTTTTGGTTGTGCCTTACTGGCCCGCAAGGACTTGGTTCCCAGAGCTTGCAATGCTAACAAGGAAAACAACAGTAAAACCCCCTAACTGGCCAAACCTTCTACATCCATGCAAAGTCATCAAAACCCAGGCCCTTCCGAACTTAACATATCATGTTCAACCTCAGTAGAAGGAGATATTCTTACAGAGCAGCCAAGGCAGTCTCCCTAGCCCTTAGCAGATCTGCGACGAATTTATTTGATGATAAATGGAAGAGCTTTGGTCAGTTTATGACCTATAAAGGGTTTACGTCAGCCAACGCCACCTCACCACAAGTAGCATAATTCCTGTGTCAACTGCGTAGTACAAGGAATCACAAAGGTTCAACATTAAGTACCTATCTACCTATACTAGTAAGTATCTAGCTTTGAGATTACCATGCATAACAGAATAAAGCTCACCAACCGGAATTTTTAGCCTTGCTACAAAAGTACAGGCTTGAAGATCAACCGAAGAAATTCTGAGCCCCAGCCTGGGATCTGAATGTGGTACCTAATGACCTCCCCAGTGAAGCATATAAACCCTTACAACAAGCTGACTTTGAGCATCTAACGCAGAAGGCATTATTTTACTGGCCCTAGTCATGGCAGCTAGAATGTCCGTGATTCATGCAATCAATTTCTCACATACTCGATTTGACAGTGGTGAGAATGCATCGGTCCATCTTGGCATGAAATGGGAATTTGTAGCAAAGAAAAACTACCTGGTCAGCCAGCCAGACAGTTTCATATTCCGCCACATTCATCAATCCTAGGATCTGAGGACACCTAGGATTTATCCTTATGTCCTGTTTCGAGCCTTACACATCTATCTGAACAGATCAAGCTCCAGACGACAGAAATTAAGATGGTTGTTCATTCCGTTATCTAGGAATAATATCCAGAACAATCATTTCACTCTGGTTAAGAGCAGTAATCCTCAGAGCCTTCAGTGTGGCAGGTTTAGCCCTGTCAGCCTCCAACCCACATGAAGTGACAGCCGAAGCATCTACATTAGTGATACATGGAAATTGCTCCATCCCAACAATTATGGAAGGCTGTTTCTGGAGATCGGATATGGTTGCACAACAATCAACTATCCCTAACAAGAAGAAGGTGGTGCCCCGTTGTGATATACCAGTACAGGGTATTCCCAAGTGTTCATGAACAGATCTCGTTCTGAACCTCGAACAGGTGGAACCAACCGTCGGATTCAAGCAATATGTATGAGTCAGGATAAGATAAAATATGTATTTTGTAGGGTAAAAATATTATTTATACTTATCCTTACTCATGCAATAAAGCGCCCACCCAGCCATCCCCTCTTTCCCAGTTTCTGCCAAATTAAGTACGGGAAATGAGTGATGTGTAACCGGCCTTGGTAACATGCGCAGTCCATGGGTGTGCTTAGGTGCAATCTCATTAAAATCAGACCTAAGTTCTCGCTCGATCTGAGGACATCCCATTAAGGGTCATGTCAGAACGACCTTTCATCGGACCAATCAAAGTGTCGCTTACCAGATCATGAAAGTGACAGTCGGAATGTGTTTCCTAATCATGCAACCTCCAAAACGTTAACACAGGGTATTCCGAAAGGACAGTTACGGCCCGTATGACTGGTTCCGTAAAAATTATCGTCGATCTCTCGCTTCCGTGGGATTATCATTTGAACAGAGGAGGCATTGCACAGTACTTGGGAAGCACTGCTATACAATCTCAACCATATATTAGACATTCCGGAATGTTCGTTTGTTCAGTTTTCAAAATTTTGATCGAGAACTGTGTCAACATATTTTTCAAGCGTAGTCTGAAATGGAAGTAGCCAGGTTGAAACGAGTGCCGTAAAGCTCGAGAAAGCTGCTTTCTAATTGGCTGATGTCGACTTCTTGTTAGTCATTTCAGTTGTCGGTCAAAGTCCGCGAAAGGTCGTTCTGACGTGACCCCTAATGGGATGTTCTCAGATCTTTGTTTAGCGGCAGCGAGAACTTAGGTCTGATGTTAATGAGATTGGCTCAGGTGAGATGTTTTCTCTGTTCTCCAGGTACACAGTACAGGAATCCAAAATGAGTAGAGATAAGCAATATGTATGAGTCAGGATACATAATATTTTTACCCTAATAGATACATTTATTTTTCACTTTTGTAACATTAGTTTCGTTACAAGGCTGGTTTGGCTTTGTAATGTACTGTCATCGATCGATAATGTGAGTAGGTCGGCGATCGGACCAATTTTCTCCTGAAAAACTTAAAATATAACAACATTTATTTAGATTCTACATGTATAACATCTAGTCGTAAAATAATACAGACTACTTTGATTAATTTACACAAAGTATTTTTATTTTTTTACGCATGCAGTTTGAATCATCGTCCACGATCAGTGTTACATAGATCTACATGTCCCATGCCACTGTGAAATAATTGCGCCACTGTTCCATTCACTACCATCATTACGTAATGTGAACCTCAGCAAGGAATATCTGTACACCGCTCTTTCCTACACCGCGGGGTCAGTTTCTTGGACCCCGATGACAGCGGTATATCGAGGGATCACTGTAGTAGTAATGATATGATTTGTTTCAATGCCCTTTCAGAGAAGAAGTTATTTTAGTAAGACAAAACAGAATTACATTTCAGCTGACAAAAAATATTAGTTCTCAAGCAATGACAAGAAATAACTGCTACAGTGGTTACAGGTGAGTATTGGGCACAGGTGGCATAGTTGAATCTCTAAGACATGCAGAAACCTATGACTGAGTTCGATTCCCTGTTTGACCTAATGGCAGATTTTGGTTTGTCAGCACCATACTATGCTTGTGGGTTTCACAAAATTGGTAAACGTCCTTGACCTGCATCAGTTTTATCTTTCCCACATCAAGCTGACACATCATGCTGTGGGGTAACTGAAAATAAAGTTCAAGGGATGTTAAACTCACTTACTCACTGTAGGTGAGTGCGCTATTTGTTATTAATGTTTTTAATTTGCTACCATATCTCGCACAAAAATGTGTTTTGTTTGTCTAAAAGCAGAAGTAGAATTGTGGCATTAGGGATTGCTTCATTGATATGGGAGAGAGGCAGAGAACCGAGATTTTATATTTATAGATCCTTATTTTATGTGTACCCAGGAGCAGATAACTCTGCTAGAGATGGAGACTCGCCGGGAACAACAGGAACTGGAGAGATCTGTACAACTACAGCAGGAGAAGAGGGAACACAGAGAGAAGATGTCCGCCACTGCCATTCAGGCTGGATACAGAGGATACAGGTAACATGACAGTCATAATGATGAGGATGTTAGATGAAAGTGGGGGCACGGGTGGCTCAGTCGTCTACGGCACTGCGATTCACTGTGCAGAGTTGCTTCCCTGGGGCACACAAGAAACCTATGATTGTGGGTTCGAATCCCGGTTCGCCCCGATTATGTTCCTACGTTTGTCAGCACCATACCCGTGCTCGTGGGTTTCACCAATGTGGTAAACGTCGGAGACCTGCATCACTTCGGGCTTTCCTCCCACATTAAGCTGGCACGCCGTGATCTACCTGGAATACTGTTAAAAGCGGCGTTAAATCCAACTCACTCACTCACTCACTCAGATGAAAGTGTAGTTGATGATGACAAAGGACAAGGTATGATATGGCCCTTTTGGCACACGGGATCTACATGATTTTAGAAATAACAGTTATTTTTGTCCTTTTTAAAAAAATGTTGTACGGATGAGCATGATGAGAGCTAGCTAGACTTTGTTCATTTCTACACATGATTGTTTGTACTTACTGCAACACTAATTATATATGTGAGGCTAAAAAGTGCCGAAAAGTCTGATTTGAGAAGTTTTCAAAATGCTTTTGTTTAAAGTTTGAACATGAGCAAGTCTTTGAGCAAAGATGGTTTTCTCAGATGTAGATTAAAACAGTACAAACATATAGTAACATACTTTTCTTGGACTTGCTCATTGTAGACTTCTTCTCAAAGCAGGAAAAGTCAGCCTTTTTTTAACACAGGTTAGCCATAGTTGTTACTTGATCATGGCAGAAGTGAAAACCTTGCAAGTGTATAAAGAATTTCAACTTATATGTGATGATTTTCCAGTGGGCCAAAAAGGGCCTTCATTATCCTGCCGCCTCCTTATAACCTCTTTGTAATTCATTATCAGGACAGACAAATTCAGAGTGCATTCAAGCTGAGGTCAATAAGTGAAGAGTCAGGATTCAACTGAATTTTATAATAGTCCTATTTTTAACAGGTTTCAACATGTTTTAAGATTTCTGGAAATCATAGGTGTTTTTTCACCAAATACCAAATTATGTTTTAAAAAAGCAGGTATTCAATCAAACACAGCATTTCTTATGTTTTAGATTTTTTGTGTACAAAATGTAATGTAGGATTCTCTGTAACCATGGTAAACTGAAAAAGAATCGATCAGATCTCATTACAGTCCATTTGACTCCAAATTAGAACGATGAATTGCAAAAATAACTCGAAATCCAGAAAAGTGTATGAAACATCAATACGGTACTTGACCATGAATACCCTGTACCCAACAAAATCTGAATTTTGTTTATTTTAAGACCCATGACGGATGAAGTTCTCTAAGAAACTATCATGTATTTTTGTATAGAAATGTGTACATGACACGTAGGGGGACAAACCGTGGAAGGCACAGCGCAAGCACGGTCTACACGTGCTACACAGTGACCGTGTTCATTCAATGACAAGATGCGCTACTCAGCAGATGTTAAACAGTTGATGTTGAATGTGTATGATTTCTTTAGAAGTGAAGCAGAAAGAGCAAAGCCTTTTTATGCAATTAATAAATTCTTGAAACGAGCTTCAAAAGCTCTTGGTATGTCCCCTCAGAAACTTTAAAATGTTGTTAGTCGACGAGATACAAATAGTCAGGCCAAGGAGGTAGGGAACATGTCAAAACCACGCAAGGTTGATAAATTTGACAGTTTTCAGAGGGATCACGTCAGACGTGCAATTGTTAAACTGCACTCAGAAAATAAGTACCTGTCCCTAAGAATTTTGAAGAAACACCTTGAAACTGACCATGATTTACGTGTTACAAAGTACAAACTATGGCAGCTGTTGCATACATTTGGTTACAAATACAAAAAGATAACTGGAGAAAATAGGGCTGTGTTGTGTGAACGGTCAGACATTGTTCGTCTCCGAAATCATTACCTTAGTATCATCAAGCAGAAACGTGAAGAAGGATATGAGCCCGTCTTCTTAGATGAGACATGGGTAAATGCGTCACACACAGCCAGCAGTCAGTTGGTACCCAGTGGTGACTGTAAGGAGTCTGGTAGAAAGTTATCAATGGGAAAGGGTGAAAGACTCATAGTTCTCCATGCTGGTTCTGCCAGTCAGGGTTTTCTCCCAGACTGTGACCTCGTCTTTAGAGCCAAGGCCAAAGACAACAGGGACTACCACAAAGAAATGAACAGCAATGTATTTCTGGAGTGGGTGAAAGATAAATTAGTCCCTGCTTTGCCTACCAAGTCTTTCATTGTCATGGACAATGCACGGTATCATAGTGTGCAGGATCCAGAAAGCAAGACTCCAACCTCTAATAACCATAAAGGAGACATGGTTACTTGGCTGCAACGGAGGAACATTACCTTTCCTTCTCGAGCGAAGAAACCACAGCTCTATGAAATCATCAAAACTATGAAACCTGACCCCGTGTATAAAGTTGACAGTTACATCAAGGGTCAGGGACACGCTGTCTTACGACTGCCACCTTATCACTGCGACCTGAATCCAATCTAGTTGGTATCGTCAAGGGTGACGTTGTACCATCGAACACAACATTCAAATTACGAGACGTTGAACAACTCGTAAAGGAATCCCTTGGTCGGGTAACAGTAGAAACATGGAGGCGTTGTGTGGCCACAGTCGTTGACGAGATAGAGCCACGTTATTGGTCATGAGATGGACTACGGCCAGCAACAGTCCAACCTATAATAGTGGCAGTCGGTTCAGGCACCAGCAGTTCCGACGACAAGATCTATGGCATGAGCGAGTCTGATTGCGACTGAAATTATCATGAGACGGCCCCTCTAACGCTCTGTCATTTCCCCTACCACAGAACGTGCAGTGCATGCGTGCTTGCGCTGTGCCTTCCACGGTTTGTCCCCCTACGTGTCATGTACACATTTCTATACAAAATTACATGATAGTTTCTTAAAGAACTTCATCCGTCATGGGTCTTAAAATAAACAAAATTCAGATTTTGTTGGGTACAGGGTATTCATGGTCAAGTACCGTATTGATGTTTCATACACTTTTCTGGATTTCGAGTTATTTTGCAATTCATCGTTCTCATTTGGAGTCAAACGGACTGTAGTTGAGAATGTCTAATCAACTCATTCATTAATTATTTTTTTCACAAGTAATTAAGAACACACATTGTTCACTGCTACAGACTTGTCACGCTAAGAGTGAATTGTTTTATTTGTTTTCCTTAGAGTACGAAAAACATCAAATTCCACACTGAAACAGAAACGAGAAGAGAGAGCTAAACTGAGAGAGGAGAAAAGGATTCAGGAAGTTGAAGAAGAAATAAGACAAAGAAAGGAAGAAATCAATAAGAAGAAGGAAGAAGAAAAACAGAAGATAGAGGAACTTCAGAAAGTTGAAGAAGCAAAAAGACAAGAAGAAGAAAGGGTACTGAGAGAAGCGGAGGAAAAACAAAGGCAGGAAGAAATAAAAAAGGAGGAAGAGAGAAAAAGATTAGAAGAGGAAAGGAAGAAAAAAGAAGAGGAAAAGAGACGAGAGGAGGATGAGAAAAGACAATTGGAAGCGAAGAAAGCAGAGGAGGAAAAGAGAAAAGAAGAAAAACGAAAATTGGAAGAACAGAAAATGGAAAAGGAAAGGAAAGAAAAGGAGAGACTTGAAGAGGAAAGGAAAGAAAAGGAGAGACTTGAAGAGGAAAGGAAAGAAAAGGAGAGACTTGAAGAGGAAAGGAAGATGAAAGAGCAGGAAAGGTTGGATAAGGAAAAAAAAGAAATAGAGGAAGACAGATTGAGACAAGAAGCAGAAGAAAAAAGATTACAGGAAAAGGATAAAGAAGACTCAAAATTAAATGAGGAAAACAGATTGAGAGAGGAGAATGAAAGATTAAAGGAAGAACTACGGAAAGTAAGAGGAGAGAATAACACAGCAGAAAGTCAAAAACATTCTTCTGAAACACAGCTTGTGAAGGAAGTGAAAAGCATAGTGGTGACAGAACCTAAAATAGAAGTAGAACAATTGCAACCAGAAAGTAAAGGTACATCTGGCGAAGTTCGCAAATCCCTGAAAGAAAAACGTGAAAAGTTTGAGGAGAGTAAGCTGCAGAGCGTGTGCCAGAGTGGGAGTGCTGACACTCTTGGGAGCACCCTGCCCTCCCACCTAGAGGCGAGGAGGCTGGCCTGGATCAAAGAGTGTCTGCCTTGGAGGTAGGTTTGTCTCAGAGAAAATATACACAATGAAACTAGGCTGAGAAACACAGCTTTTCACAACAATCTCCGATGGGAACTTAAAAAATATACCGTGAATCCAAAGAGTTTGCAAAGTAACAATGACTTGTTAATGTGGACAACTTGACTGAGTGCGGTCCTGATTTAAAGGGCTTCTCTTCACACTGCATGGTCAGGATATGTGATTAGTAACAACAAAATTTATGCTTTGTAAAAAATATAAAATTAGTAATAACCACTGGTCCAAAAATGGTCTAGTAGACATTTTCTCAGATAAAAATTGCCACAAAAGCTGAAAATAATGCTAAGAGCCTTGTTCAAACTCAAATGTTTTTGGCACAGATTGGTAATGATATTTTGGCAGACAGACAACAGACTGTATAAGGTCTTATGAATGGGATGTATCCTGGTTGTAAGAGGTGACTTAATGGATCGTGTAGTTGGGCTGAGTGACATGTTTGATAGCGTGTCATTCTACCCCAACGGTGTGGATCGTTGTTCATGACTTCAATCACTGGATTGCATGGTTGAGACCGGCTTATTTACAGGCCACTGTCATATATAGCTGGAATATTATTGAGTGCAGTATTAATCAACAACACTCAAACACATTCTCGCACGTATACACACACACACACATTTATCATGTTTTCAAATTTTAGATTTTCAAGAGATTCTAATTATTTTGATAAGAATATATTCTTTTATAAAAATGTTTTATTGAATGCAATCTTACTTTAGCAAGTGATTTATGTGTATTCTGCACACTTAAAAATGTTTTTCAGCAAAGTGAGCAATGAACCGTGGAAACTTAAAGGAGGTGTGTCCAAGAAGCCTCCAAGACGACCCTCGTCTGCTAAGAAGTTACCTCCCTTGTCTGAGGACATTGTAATAGCAGCAGCCCGAGTAGCTACACTGAAACAAGTGAGGAAATGAAACAAAATAATGTTACAAATTTGAGGGGCTTCTCACCATTTTTACCATGCCTTCCATGCTTACCATGCTGACCACACTTACCAGTGCTAACCATGCTGACAACACTTACCCTGCTTACCATTGCGTACCATGCTGACCACACTTACTAGTGCTTACCATGCTTACCATTCTTAGCATTCTTACCATGCTGACCACACTTACCATTCTTACCATGCTGACCACACTTACCATTTTTACCATGCTGACCACACTTACCATTCTTACCATGCTTACCCTGCTTACCATTCATACCATGCTGACCACACTTACCATTCCTACCATGCTTACCACTCTTAGAATTCTTACCAGTGCTTACAGTGCTTACAATGCTTACCCTGCTTACCATTCTTACCATGCTGACCACACTTACCATGCTGACCACACTTACCATTCTTACCATGCCTACAATTCTTAGCATTCTTACCATGCTGACCACACTTACTAGTGCTTACCATGCTTACCATTCTTAGCATTCTTACCATGCTGACCACACTTACCATGCTGACCACACTTACCATGCTGACCACACTTACCATTCTTACCATGCTTTCCATTCTTAGAATTCTTACCAGTGCTTATAATGCTTACCCTGCTTACCATTCTTACCATGCTGACCACACTTACCATGCTGACCACACTTACTAGTGCTTACCACGCTTACCATTCTTACCATGCTGACCACACTTACTATGCTGTGTAAATTGAAATTTGCATTTTTATGCATATTTTTAGCTTTTTTCACCAAGGTGTATTTTCAGGAAATACAGCTACATTGTTTTTCCATGTTTTTGCTGACTTCTGTATAAGGATATGATATAACAGTTTATAGCAAACATTCACTCACATGCTGATGTTTTGTAGAACTACCTCAGATATCTTACCGTTTGTTTCAGGTGACCACGGTCCAGTTGAGTGACCTTCCAGGCTGCACATTGTCCACTCTCAGTCACTGCTGGGGCCTAAAGTCTCTGACAATGACCAACTGTAATCTAGTGGCCCTGGACAGTCTGAATGAGTGTAAACAGCTGCAGTATCTGAACGTGAAGGTAAGTTCAAGGAAACAAGATGTAAGTAGAACTCCAGTTTGTATGGTCGAAACTTGATCATTAACAAACTGTGATGTTATATCTGAAATATATTCAGTATTAGAAATTCAAGTTAAGGGTCATTGTCATAGGCTTATGATAGAAGTAATTATAAAATTGGTACCTAGATTATTACTATAGGCATGATAGCAGCAAGCCCCAAGGACCCAGGGACCCCTCTTTGAACTCTGATATTACTGACTGAAATAGAAGTTCATTCACTAATTGCTACAGTATCTGTTCATTGCTCTGAAATTATGTACAACTTCTTGAATCATAAGTCAGTTAACAAAATATGTTTGTATTCTTATGAATATTGGGGCAGTTGGGTAGCCTAGTGGATAAAGTGTTCGCTCTTCACACCGAAGACCCGGGTTTGATTCCCAACATTGGTACAATGTGTGAAGCCCATTTCTGGTGTCCCCCGCCATGATATTGCTGGAATATTGCTAAAAGCGGCGTAAAACCATACTCACTCACTCACTTATGGATATTAATAAATGAATAGAAAGCACACAGCACTAGTGGCATAACATTGAATCCCTTGACATCTAGACAGGATATGTTTTGTTTTCAGTTCAAAATATTTGAGAGCATGCCATCACTCGTTTATAGCATTGACGTTCAAATTCCGTTTTGGGGGCATCTTCCTAGTGGTCTAATGTATCACAATGTTCAGGGTTGAGTCCCTTATTTGTTAACCTTGGTTTATCAGCACCATTCTCATGTTCATGGGCTTCAGCAAAGTGGTAAGCATATAGGACCTGTTGCCTTCCCTCCGTGATGTGATGCAGCTGAAATAGTGTTCAAAGTGGCATAACATCCAATTCATGCATTGCCTGTTTCAGAGGAACAAGCTGGAGTACGTTGACCTGAAGGACCTGGGCAACCTGCAGGTCGTTAACCTCTCCAACAACAACCTGTCTCTAGTACATGGGCTTGATGGCTGCACCAACATCCGCTGGCTTGACCTCTCGTGTAACAGGATAACAAGATTAGGTAAGCTTCGGTACCACATAAAGCAGTGTATGGTATGGATCGTTGCTCATGGTATTAGCCACTGGTTTGGCACCTCAATTATTTACCGGCTGTCGTCATATAGCTTGTATATTGTTGACCTGCATTAAACAACGCTAACTCACTCACTCACTCAAGAATAGGACTGTTTTCCCTTTGACCAGGCTGTCTTGATCCCCTGCGTCGGCTCCACACCCTGATACTCTCCAGCAATCAGCTCATCAGCTGCAGCGGCATCAGTGACGTCCCAACGCTGCAGCATCTCAACCTCTCCAACAACCATCTGCAAGGACTTGATGGTCTCCACAAGCTCTGCCTGCTGCAGAAGCTGGACGTGTCGGCTAACAACCTACTGCAGGTATGCCTTGAATCAGTAACCCCTGTCTTGGCTTGTTGGCTATTGTGCTAGATGTATGGAGCTCATCAAGACTAGTTCTTGTAGAGTCCTCCCTTACTGATTTCCTATTTCCTTATCTCAAAATTTTATTCTTCGGTAAAATGTTAATAAAATTCAAGAAAGGTAATTTGAGATCGCTCTAGAAACATGGGAATGCATCCAGAGGTTAGCTCTGGAGATACAGTGGCTGTTGGGAAGGCTTGTTTGTAAAGCATTGTCTTGTCATGCCTGAGGCCCGTGTTTGAGCCCCCAAATGGGTACAATGTGTGAAAGCTATTTTTGATGTCACTGTCCATGATGAGGCTGAAATACTGATAAAAGTGGTGTACATTCCCACCAACTCACTCCCTCTGTGTGTAGTTCCCTGATGTAAGGAACCAAGTGTTGCTAGAGGAGTGTGACATGTCGGACAACAGCATCAGCTCCCTGGACGGACTCACCAGCAGCTGGTTGCCCCTTCTCACTACACTCAGTCTCGCCAAAAACAGGTCAGTCAGTGCGCAAGATTTATACCACAATATGATCAGGGTCCTCTCATCCTACAATCCATACTCTCCCCACCCCCCACCCCCCACCCCCCACCCAAACACACACACCCCACCCCACCCCATTTAGTAGAAATTGATGGTCTAGTTCTAGCAGCTCATCTGACTGAAACTTTCAGTTGTCTGTGCATCCGTTCATCTGTCCGTAAATAAATTTTACATTTTCGACATCTCCTCTGAAGCTACAAGGCCTATGGAGAAGAAACTTTGTTTGAATGGTCCCCGCTATGTTGTCTTCAAAACTTGATAACAGAATTCCAATCCAATTTAAACATGACAGCAATATTGTAAATGTTATGTTTGACCGTTACTCAGATATTTTTGCATGTATCATTATGAAATTTGATATACAGCAAGTATGTTGTATGAGGAATAACATGATCATGATGATATGAATTTTGGCATACATGTATTTTGATTTTTCACCAAGCTACAACCTTTGACTTTCGCATACCCACATTTTTCTAGTGTTACTGCAACTTTTACACCTCAGAAACTACAAGGCATATGGAGCTAATATTGGTAAGAATGGTCCCATCAGTGTCTCCACAAATTACACACATTATGCCAACCGGATTGACCCCCCCGCCATTATTTTTTCATAATTCATCTGAGATAGTTATATACAGTCTTTGATTGGCATTTATGGATGAAATGTTTTATGCCTACCTGTTGTTCCATCATCCATTGTTACAAACAATACAGAACTTGTTATCCGTATGATATCATGCATTTTGAAAAAAACAACTTACGATAACTATATGCTAAATGGGTGTTATGTTGTACTTTCAGTCTGACCGAGGTGGACGTGGTGGACAATCTGCTCCTACTGAGGAGCCTGGACATCACCAACAACCAACTATTGGGTCAGTTGTCACTGTCATATTTACATGGCTTCATCAGACCTTGTGGTTTTGACCTGTGAAGATCCGGGGTAGAATAGGTCTTCAGCAACTCGTGCATGCCCTAAAAGGCGACTATGCTTGTCTTAGGAGGAGACTAACTTGATTGGGTGGTCAGGTTCGCTGACTTGGTTGACACATGTCATCCTATCCCAATTGCATAGATCAGAATGTCCTTGAAACCAGGAAAGAATTGAATTAACCCATGATCATAGCGTTCTAGCATACCTAGGGGATGCAAATTATGGTAGAAAGGAGAAGGTATGATAAGGGCCCCTTATAATCTGCATAATTTAAAAATGAGGAAGATGTTTCGAAATCATTCCCGCACAGAAGGAAAGGGAATCCCCATAACTTGCGTTCTGATTGGCTGGCCAAGCCATGTCACTGGCAGCCTTGTTATGAGCCTCATGGATTCTCCCTATGTTGGGCGAAATGGTGGGAGAACTAAAACCAGGCCTTTCCTGTTGCTTTGTGCTAACCGAGTGCTGAATGTTCCAGCAACTGTAGTCAATCAATATGTAGTATTTTTTCCAGTTGCTGGTTTACTGGGTACTGAAGTTAGTAGCCTGCGCTGCATTTATTAGCTGTGCCGATTGAACGTTTATTGTATTGTTGGGATGAAGCGTGGACGTGCCACCTTCGATATTCACATAATTCAAAGACTCACCATTAGCTGTTGCCTCCTGTACAATGTGTACTCCGGGGGTTGGTCTCCTGGGTGTCCTTGCCTGCTTGGCTCCCCTCACAAGCTTGTGGTTGATGACTGCTCTTCTCTTAGGAGGCATCACGGCAGGTCGAGTTGATTCAGGCGGTAATCCACAAGTGATAAATGTCCCTGGGGTGAACTTAGGGAGTAGAGCAAAATAAATGTGATACACCGAGTGCTGATATAGAAGGTATGCGAGGCAAAAATTGGCGAAACGAACGCGATTGTGTACAAAGAAAACGTACAAAGCGAAAGCGATTAGATACAGTGAAACAAAAGCGATTAGTTACAGCGAAACACGTGTGTACTTGATGAGAGATGGTGCGCGAATGGTGGACTATAGAGATGGAACAAAGGGGGGATGACACTTGCGTGGGATCTAGTGCCCTGGGCACAATGCAGGGTGCTGACTCAGGGGTCTTTCAGTTACAGTCTTTCAGGGTGATTAAGTTACGGACGTAATATGCCAATGGTTTGGATATGAGCGATAAAGTCATTTAGTAGTTAGTACTACCGTAAATGCAATTATTAGTCACATTTGACCATTATTGCATACTTTTGTCCTTTTTATCAACTTTGTATTTTTGGACCGAATGGCCGCCCATAGTAATGATCGCACAGCAGCAGAGACTGTAGCATAGCTGAACAGCAAGGATGTATACCAAGTATCTCTGTTTCCTACAGACCTAGAGGGACTGTGTTCAGCTGTCAGTTATCTCCCTTACCTTGAGGTCATAAATGTTCAGGACAACCCAGCCACCGATGGAGTCACATATCAGTGAGTGTTTATTTAATTCAGTAAATCAATATTAAGTAATGCAACACTTATCTCTCGGGAGAAAACCTTTACACATTCACTCAAGGTAATTCTGGAGGCACACTTTTGATCTTTTTTGGAATTTTCAGTTATATCATGAGTGAAAACACATTCTAGTTTTACCTGTATTTATTGTAAGAGGCCAGAAAATATTCACTGTCAATAATAATAATTATAATGATATTCAAGACAACAGATCAAACCAAAGCAAATAAATACAAATTATTTTTATTGAATTTTCTGATTGTAACTTTTGTTTCTGATCTGTTTATCTGCAAACTAAAATATTGTCTTCTTAATCAATTTGTATAGTTGTCAATATGCAAGCTGTTCAGCAACATATAAATTCTTTGAAATTTCCACTTTTGGCATTTTAGTGAGAAGTTTACAAAGGTTTTTACCAGACTGAAGACGCTAGATGGTACAACAGTAACTTCCCCTGGCGGTACCACCGTCCTGCATCCTAAGACTGACTTCGAGGCCATGTGTATGACACAGTGTCAGTTCCACACCAGTGTCAGGAATACCTTCCTGCAAGAGCTACAGTAAGTCTCTTATTGCTACAGTAAGTCAGTCACTTACTGCTACAGTAAGTCAGTCACTTATTGCTACAGTAAGTCTCTTATTGCTACAGTTAGTCACGTATTGCTACAGTAAGTCAATCACTGATTGCTACAGTAAGTCAGTCACTTATTGCTACAGTAAGTCAGTCACTTATTGCTACAGTGAGTCAGTCACTTATTGCTACAGTAGGTCACTTATTGCTACAGTAAGTCAGTCACTTATTGCTACAGTGAGTCAGTCACTTATTGCTGCAGTATGTCTCTTATTGCTACAGTAAGTCACTTATTGCTACAGTTGGTCACTTATTGCTACAGTAAGTCAGTCACTTATTGCTGCAGTAAGTCAGTCACTTATTGCTACAGTAAGTCAGTCACTTATTGCTACAGTAAATCACTTATTGCTACAGTAAGTCACTTATTGCTTCAGTAAGTCAGTCACTTATTGCTACAGTAAGTCAGTCACTTATTGCTCGTGAGTCAGTCACTTATTGCTACAGTGAGTCAGTCACTTATTGCTTGTAAGTCAGTCACTTATTGCTCCGCTTATTCGGTTATTCCCACAGTAAGGCTCTTATTGCTACAGTAAGGTACTCATTAATTGCTACACTAAGGCACATATTTCTACAGTAAGTCCCTTACTGCTACAATAAGGCATGTATTGCTACAGTAAGGTGCAGTAAGTTACTTGTTTCTGCAGTAAGTCACTTATGGCTGCTGTAAGTCAGTTATTGCTGTAGTAAGTCATGTAATACTTCAGTAAGTCACTTATTACTGCAGGTAAGGCACTTATTGCTTCAGTAAGTCACTTATTGATGCAGTAAGTCACTTTTCGTGCAGTAAGTCACTTATGGCTGCAGGAAGTCACTTATTGCTGTAGTAAGTCATGTATTGCTTCAGTAAGGCACTTGTTACTTATTGTTACAGTTAGTCATGTATTGCTACATTAAGGCACTTTTTGCTTCAGCATGTCACCTTTTCTAACTGTAGTGTTCTTTCAATAACCAAGAGACAACCTGCCAACTTCCCACTTCGTTTATTTCTCAGACGACAAGTGACAATCCGTAGCCAAGCTCGAGCATGCATTGCATGTGCGTTACGTAACAACGTTTTCCGAACCACTGATAACATTACATGAACGACTTCTGTTTACCATCAGAATTTATCAAACAAAACCTAATATTTTACACTTTTCCCCCTTAAAAATATACAAAAAAAACGTAACCTGAAATAATAGTACGGCCGTTTAATAAGCAAAGTATCCAAATCAATGTTTATCGTTGAAACACAAATGTCACACTGACCTAAAATGTGGTCAGTAGGTCAATACCTCAATCCAGTGTCAACACACGAATACACTATACGAGGTCACTATGACAGGAATGTTACAAGGTCTGTGACTCAGGTATTTAAGATCCCAGCAGTGTTAATGTGAAACTAACAGTTCAATAAGACAGTCTATCTGGTTTCTTCCTCTCCCTAACAGGATATCTTCGGGTCACTGTTTCTGTGACAGGTACAATTTCAGCCTCTGGGGGCCTTGTCCCAGGTGGAACACTCTCCACCCCGATTTCCCCAGGAAATGACCCCTTGGTACTTTCAACTGGAATCTTCTCTACCCCAGACATTGGCGCACTTTCAGACCTATCAGGGATTGTTATGTCCTCAGTAGTGGATGTTACTGGTAGATCAGGCGTACCTGGCATAGTTATTAGCTGATCAACATGGCGCTTCCACTCAAAGTTCTCTACCTGAACCTTGTAAGTCACAGGACCTAATGCTTTTAGTACAACCCCCTGGAGCCATTGTTCGGTACGTCCCCTGTAGTCCCTCACCAGGACTGGGTCGCCAACTTCGAAACGCCTCCCAGCATCCACTTTCGGAGACACTTTTCTTTGAACTGAAGAAGCAAGATCTGGTCTCAGCAAGTTGAGTCGAGTACGAATACGCCTCCCCATGAACAGTTCTGCAGGGGTTGTTTTCATTGTACTGTGAGGTGTGGTTCGGTAGGACAGCAGAAATCTGCACAGTCGCTGTTGAAGAGTAGATGTAGATGCCCTCATGGATTTCATAGTAGTCTTAAACGTTCTGACGAATCGTTCTGCCTCACCATTAGAGCTTGGGTGGTACGTCGAGGACAGAATATGTTTTACTCCATTTTTCTTCAGAAATGTCTTGAACTCGTGAGAGGTAAACTGAGGTCCATTGTCAGAGATTAGCTGATCGGGAAGGCCATAAGAAGAAAAGAGCTTTCTCAAAACATTTATGGTACTTATTGTTGTTGTTGATTTCATCTGAACTACTTCAGGCCATTTGGACATAGCATCCACCACAATAAGAAAGTTCTCACCCACAAAGGGGCCAGCAAAGTCAACGTGAATCCGTTGATAAGGACGGGAAGGCTAGATCCAGGGATTCTGTCTGGTTGTAGGTGGGACCGGTTGTACACTTTGATGCACAGTTTCTAACTAGCTGCTCTATGTCCGTATCCAAATTAGGCCACCACACATGAATCCTTGCTAGAGATTTCATGCGAACAATCCCCGATGAGAGTCATGAAGATTATCCAAAATCTCAACTCGGTACTGAGTGGGTACTACTACTCTCACTCCCCAAAGTAAGCAGCCCTCTTCACATGTCAACTCGTCCTTCCTTCTATAATACGGAAGGAATTCAGGAGAAATATCACCTACTGATGGCCAACCACAAACAGTGAAATGTTTAACTCGAGATAGCACTTTGTCTCGTACAGTTGCAGCTGATATGTTTCTGGATGTAACAGGCAGATTATCTAGCTGAGCAATATGCACTGAAGTAGCTTCTCATGTCCAAAATGTGTGTGAAGTGGATTTCTGACCATCGGTATCGGCTAATGGTAATCTGGAAAGGCAATCTGCATTAGCATCTTGTTTCGTGGATTTATACTTGATCTCGTAAGTGTAAGCTGATAGCTGGATGGCCCACCTCTGCAGTCTTGATGCAGCAAGTACAGGAATTCCTGTTTTAGGTCCAATAATACTTGTTAGTGGCTTGTGGTCCGTAAACAGGGTGAAATGTCTCCCATACAAGTACTTATGGAATTTCTGGATTCCAAAAATGATAGCCAAAGCCTCTTTCTCAATCTGAGAGTAGTTTTTCTCAGCGGCTGTCAGCGTTCGTGAAGCAAACGCTATAGGTCGTTCCCCAGAATTTGTATCATGAGAAATGACTGCACCTAAACCATGCTGAGATGCATCAGCCGCCAAGATCAGAGGCTGTTTTGGGTCATAATGCACTAGTACATCAGATGTAGTCAAATGCTTACACAGTTTCTGAAAGGCTTTCTCACACGAGCTGTCCCAATGAAACTTTGTTCCTTTCTGCAGAAGTTTATTTAATGGTGCACACACTGTGGACATACCTGGTATAAACTTCTGGTAATAGTTCACACACCCCAAAAAGGATTGTAGTTCTGTCAGATTTGTTGGTCGCGGTGCATTCCGGATTGCTTCAATCTTGGATTCCGTCGAATGAATACCTTGACTGTCCACCCTGAAACCAAGGTACTCCATAGATGGTTGCAGGAAAGTACACTTCGACTTGTTTAGTTTGATGCCATAAGAATCCAAACGTTCAAACACATTATCAATGTGCTTCAGGTGTTTACTGTCATCTTTACCAGTGACATACAGGTCATCTATGAAATCGCAAGTTGCTGGAAGACCCTGTAATACCTGGTCCATGACATTTTGGAATAAAGCAGGGGCTGAAGCGACCCCAAAGGGTAATCGTGTATAACGATAAAGGTCCTTATGGGTGTTCACAGTCACATATTTCTTAGATTCCTCATCAAGTAACACTTGTTGATAGGCTTGTGATAGGTCTAATTTGGTGAATTTCGTCCCACCATTCAGTTGGTTGAGCAAATCTTCTGGCACAGGCAAAGGATACTGAGACACCTCCAAGTCTCTGTTCACTGTCAGCTTATAATCCCCACATATCCTCACAGCGCCTGAAGGTTTGAGTATCAGTACAATGGGAGCAGCCCATTCAGAATATTCCACTTTCTCAATGACCCCAATCTTCTCTAGTCTATCCAATTCCTCAGCTACCTTATCCTGCAGTGCATATGGCACAGTTCTTGGTTTATAGAACTTTGGTTTTGCTCCGGGTTTTACAGACAGATGAAGCTTAACACCCTTCACAGTTCCCAAACTGCCATCAAATAAGGCTGAATACTTTGACAACAACTGTTCCAAGTCCTTCTGGGAATTGTCAACTCACACGGTATTGACTCTGCCAATGGAATACCAGTCAAGCTGTATCTGAGATAGCCAGTTTCTGCCTAGGAGCGCCGGTCCACTTCCTGTCACCACATATACAGGTAAAGTGATAGACTGTTCATTATAGTCAACATCCACCTGTATTTTTCCCAAAACAGGTAACTTTTCTGCAGTATAAGTCTCCAAGTAAGGCAGGTTGGTGGTTTTCAGCGGAATATGCCTAAAATCTCTCTTGTACTGCTCCTCCGAAATCAAAGTTACTCCAGCTCCAGTATCCAACTCCAATGAAATGTTTGACCCTTTAACACACATAGGAATGTAGATGGGCTTATCACCTGCAATAGATTTTACAGTGAATAAAGTATTACTCAATGTGTCCTCATAAGAGTCTGCATCCTCATCACTGCCATCAGGTAGCTCATGTTCCACTGTTGAATCCATATACCTGACTTTGGATGATTTTTTCTTAAGTTTTTCTGGTTTATGGGCCTTCTTCTCCTGTGGTTTCTCATGGCACCTCCTGCTAATGTGTCCTTGCTTCTGACAGATATGACATATGCTTTTCTTGTACTAGCAATTATCACTGTTGTGGTTTTTCTTTCCACAGTGCCAACATTCACGGTTATCCCGAGACATCGATCCAACTTGCTTATCTGAATACTTCCGGTTCTTGTCAGACTTCACTAATACATTCACTTTATGACTTAACTCATTGGTCTCCTTATTCGCAGCTTCCATACTCAAAGATATTTCCATTGATTTCTTTAAGTTCAAATCCTTCTCAGCAAGCAATCTACGCTGCATAGCTGCTGAAGCGAGTCCACACACAAACATGTCTCTCATTGCATCATCAAGAAATCCACCAAAATCGCAATGTTCACTCAGTTTGCGTAGTTCAGCCATAAATGCACTCACTGATTCACCAGAGCGTTGTTTTCGCTGATAAAACTTGAATCTTTCAGCGATAACTAATGGTTTGGGATTCACATGGCTTTTAACGACATCAACCAATTCTGTATATGACTTGTCAGCGGGTTTTGCCGGTGAGACTAAAGTCCTCATGAGGGAGTAGGTTTCCTTACCTACTATGGTAAGCAATATCGCTCTCCTCTTCCCGGCATCTTCAACATCGTTAGCGACGAAATACTGATTAAGTCTTTCAATATACTCAACCCAGTCTGCATTTTCAGACACTGAAAATTCCTCCATTCGACCATATGTCGAGGACCCCATTTTTAAGAGCACAGAGCACACTACAACAAGCGCTATCAGTCCCATTAACACAGAGCGAAGGTTCGTCACCAACTTACAGATTGGTCTTCTTGGTACCACACATGTAGAATCCCATCCTCGTCGCCAAAATTGTAGTGTTCTTTCAATAACCAAGAGACAACCTGCCAACTTCCCACTTCGTTTATTTCTCAGACGACAAGTGACAATCGGTAGCCAAGCTCGAGCACGCATTGCATGTGCGTTACGTAACAACGTTTTCCGAACCACTGATAACATTACATGAACGACTTCTGTTTACCATCAGAATTTATCAAACAAAACCTAATATTTTACACTAACAATAATGCACATTTTGTTACTATAAGTCACCTGTTCTACGGTAAGGCACGTTTTGCTAAATTATGGCAATCATTGCTCCCCTATACCTTGTAGTAACAGCTCACTGAGTATGTGATAGTGACAGTGTGTGTCATCATACCCTGAACTTTGCTTACCCTGTCCACCACTGGTTTATTGGCCCGGACTTAATGATGTTTATGTCCTTAACAAGGCTAAACTAGAATTACAAGAGTGAAATTGTATTTATTTCATAATATTCTATTTGTTTCTACATGATTTAAAAGTTCTTACAACATTTTCAAAGTATATGTTTCAATAGTAACAAGGTGAATAACAATACACCTGCAACTGATGTAATAATACAGCATATGTTCAATGTTATGGTCAACATGTTCCAGGGTTTCAGATCAGTTCATGTTCTAGAACATTGACTGATTGTCATCCAAAATGCTCTACAGATATTTAGCAGATTTGGTTGAGATATATAGAAGCGTGTTCTATAAAAAGTTGATAAATCGATGAATATGTCCAAATGCCATTTGTCTTCAGCAAAATCCCTTTATTCCCCTTTTCAAAATGTCTCAGAACGTCAAAGCAACTGAGAAACATATAGCCACAATAATCAGCCTGATGAAATTCATTAATTACAATACTTGATTTTGTTTTTAGGGCTGTTGAATCCAAGTCTCAAGTAGATGACCTGGCCTTGTGTGAAGTGTATTTCCGCTACTGTGACAAATCTTTCAAAATGGCAGTTGAACACCGTTATGCGCACGAATATGGTGAAGTGTCTATGACAATACCCACTGCCCCAACTACACCCAAGTCTGGTCGGCCACAATCCGCCAGGACAAAAGCGCTTCAAAAAGACACAGATTCTTATCTGAGCCCGAAAGAAATGTTTGAAAAGGCTCTGAACTCCAGCAACAAGAAGGATGAAGAGATGAAACAAGATGGTGGCCTGGTATCTGATAACCCCAGAGACTTGTTTGAGAAAGCTTTGATGGCCACCACCAAGACTGGCGGTGGTGGTGCTGCTGCTGGAGAAGTTCATGGAGGATGCAGTGATGCCAAGAAATTGTTTGAAAGCAGTCTGAGAACTGAGACATCACAGGGGATGGGCAGTGGAAAGGATCTATTTGAAAAGTCTATACAAAATCAGATGACAGAACAGAGGTGAGATGGATAGGAAGTATTTGATTGGCATATAGGGTTTGTTTAGCCATGGATCTGTTGTCTTCATTAATATGAGCCCAACCATCTTTGTTAATTCATTGTTAATGCTAACACACAGGGTCTGCAGGGGTGCGCACTCCCTCTTTATGAGGCATAGTAATTACATTGATGTAATTAAATGACATAACTAAATCATTTGGTGACATAGTTTTAATTAAATGTAGAATTGATTGGCTAATCTTCGGCTAACAAATGCAAATTGTTTCCAGAATTTATTTTCACTCATCTTTCATTTGTTTGTATCATAAGTTCACCCCACATTTTAAAAAGAGAGATTCGAAACCATATTTATGATAGGCTTAAACTGTGTGACTTATTGGAAATATTATACAATTCTTTTTCAAAATTGATATGATCCATATACAATATATAAAATTGTATGGACATTGCTAATGTCATTGTCGCTTGGACTTTCTACATTAGCCGGTAACATCTTTTATGAATATAACACTGACTGAAAAGTTGAACTTCAAAGAGTTATATTGTCCATGCTTCAGAACTGGTTCACAGAACACAGCATGGCCTGCTGACACTGCCCGGGGTGACCTGAATCTTCGAGCCTCGCTACAGAATCTGCCTCCAGACGAGTTGGCCATTCTAGAGGAGTTGCACTCAGCAGCCACCAGGATACAGGTGAGCTGCAGCATGGAGAATCTACAGCCAGGGTCCTGTAGTACACAGTGATCTTAGCGCTAAGACAGTCGTAACTCATAACCATTCTTTAGCACCGGTTTACAGAGGTCATCGCTCTAGGATTGCTTATGGACTAGGGCTATGGAACCCCATTGCTTAAAAGAATAGGACCACTTAACCCAAAGTTGTCTTAGTGCTAAGACTATTGTAAGTCAATATTGAAGTAAAGGCGTTCAAATAGCCTTAGTGCTAAGATCGCTTGTGCAAGTTGGTCCTGTTCTAAAATGCAAGTTTACTTACTCTGACTTACAGAATATGACCATTGTAGATTGGGATTAGTTTGTGATCTGGGACCCTTTTCTGCTGAGCTATCTTAGTGCTAAGATGGCCATAAACATTTTCTTAAAACACTGACCTCGATGGTCCTAGCTCTGAAATTTCTTTGTAGAATGGAGTCCTGTTCCTCATAGCGACCTTTGCACTATGACTTTACTTGCCATACTTTAACATGTTACATTGACCAATGACAGTTGTAGTGTGAAGGTTTCTTTGTGGATTTAGATGCTGGTGGTTTAGTACTTAGGCAGAGTTTTCTATCATTTAGTTTACATATTTTTTGGACCAAATATTTACATGTACAAGATCTAATGCAATAGATAAATCTATAGCTTAAAATCAACATATACTGTTTACATGCAGTAAAAAGGGAAGAGGTACATAATGACACTGAGATTATCAAATGCTATATTTGCCTGCAGGCCACATGGCGGGGCTACAACCTGCGCATGAAGCTGTCGGCTGCGCTGGACTATGCAAGGAGGGAGGGAGATGATGATGATTCCGATCTAGACGACTTCAATATGGATGATCTAACCTTTGATGAGGTAATATCTTGACACTCTTAGAAGTTGGAGTAGGGTAGCTAGGCAATTAAAGTAAAAGCTTATGACATCCAATTTCAAGGTTTGGCCCACACATCAGGCACAGGGGTATAAACTGTAAATTTGCGATCGCAAGAACCATGAGAATGGATCCAGGGGTGAGTGTAGGTTTCCCAAAATGCAAGCCCTGGAGTGAAGAGGATGATGAGGATCGGGAGATGACAATTTGTAACCTGGCTAAGAACTAAAAGCCCAGATGGTTTGTATGGTACAGACTCAATCATTTACAGGTCACTGTGATGTAGCTGGGACATTGCTGAATGGCTTTGTAAACAATGCTCACTCACTCACACATAAAAGTCACTGCTTCATAGGAATGTTGTGAGAGAAATCCTGCAAGAACAGTTAATAGCTTATTGCAGTTACAAGTACACAGACCCAGGTTCGATTCCCCACATGGGTAAATTGTGTGCAGCCCATCTCTGATGTTGTCCACCGATAAGATATTGCTGGAATAATGCTAAAAGTGGCATAAAATCATACTCACTATTCAAGTAGACATGGATGGATTTCATAGTTTTCCCCATTTTTGTATTTACAGGAATCTCTGGAGAGGGGCTGGAGACCAACAGAAACCCCCCAGCTTCCACAGAGGTGAGACAAATAGAGAATCTCACTCGAATGTCTTTTGATATCAAATATATCAACACGAGTTGATAAAAGTGGGAAAACTCCGAGGCTTGCCAAGGATTTTTCCACTTTTATCAACAAGTGTTGATATATTTGATATCAAAAGACAGTCGGATTAGATTTTATTTATCATCCAACATCATTCTTCCAACTTTTTCAGTTGGTAGACAGTAATAAGCAGCGTCTTAAGTGTAAAAAGTACTGCTTACAGCTTCAGTAGCAGAGCCATTAGTGATTTCATTTGATTGTGACATCATGGTAACCAATGATGTCACAATGGTCTGCAATGCATTGTGATGCAATTTCATTGTACAGTGTAGATCTCACTCAAGCGATATCGCCTGTGGGAGCCAGTTTGGGATGATAAAGGCTTATAGCAGCCAAAGAGTCTTATCCCGGTGGGGGTTCTGGGTACCCATGCCTGTTGTAAGAGCCAACTAACCAGGGAATCAGAGACTCTGTGGCTTGGCTGTTTTCATGTTGGAATATCCCAATGAAGTGGACTGTCGCTCACTCTTTCAGTCACTAATTTGTCTGTTCCAGACTTTAGTATTTATTGGAACCTGACGTTGCAGACCTTGCAAGCTAAAAATCATTTTGAATCAAGGTTGAGGTGAACCAGCGACCTAAAACATCACATTTAGTTGTGTCCATCAGGTTTTTCCTCTTTGTAAGGGGTTTGTTGCAACCAGAAACTATTATCCTATTAAAAATAACTGATATGTTTGTAACATTTGTGGAGTTTACTTTACTTTTAAAGATATAGTGGTTAGTACATAGAAATAAATTTCAACTAGGTTTTGTTTTAATTTTCTGATTGTAGCTTTTAGTCAGTTGAAAAATGAAAAAGGTGTAGTTTCATACATTATTTCTTTACTGATGTCACAGCCATCCTGTGCTGGGCAAACCACCTATCGGAAGACGGGGTACACCGGATGTCCTCAAGCTGGAGCTAGCCCCCGTCCACCCACCCAACCGTCCCCGCCAGGCCTGGAGAAATGCGGACTCACCCTTGTCTGACCTGGGTCCCCACCCACCACGACCCCCCTCCTCATTGAGGAGTGTCACCGACACCCATCGTACGGGCCTGTCAAAGAAGGAGGAGAAGTTGGCCGAGGAATGGTAGATGCTGTGTAATTGTAATACATATGTCAGCAGGTGCATTCTGGGACCAACCTCAGTACCCAGGCTACATTTACACACAACTTGTGCAATCCTGCATTTGAACGAACATGAACCTGAAACCTGAATATTTCATTAAGGAGATTGATTATGAAGTTTTTGACACTGAAAACTATTGCTTTACCAACCAGGAAATAACATAAGGAGCCAGGTGGCTCTCTAGGTACATAGTTGAGTTATGAGGCTTTTTGTTTCGCAAGTTACTCTTCAACATGTCAAAGGGTTGCCCAGTTATCTAAGGCTTCGCAAGTTACTGTGCATAGTTGTGTCCCAGGAGCATGTCAGAAACCTTTGATCGTGGGTTTGAATCATGGTTCGCCCAATTATGTTTCTAAGTTTGTCAGCACTGTACCCGTGCTTGTGGATTTCACCAAAGTGGTAACGTCTGAGACCTACATCACTTAGTGCTTTCCTCCCACATGAAGCTGACATGCCGTTATATAACTGGAACACTGTTCAAAGCAGTGTTAAACCCAACTCACTCAACATGTCAAAAGATGTAACTACTTCCTTATGATTGCCATCTCTGTGGGGATTCATGGGCAGAATAGGTCCCTATACCCCGTTGATGTTGTAGGAGTGAAGTGATGAGGATGAGATAGTTACAACTGGTCTGTGTGTGGCGGGATCGGGTGGTCAGGCTCGCTGACTTGGTTGATGCATGTCATCATATCCCAATTGCGTGGATGGATGCTCATGACGTCAATCACTGGATTGTCTGGTCCAGACTCGATTATTTATAGGCCGCCATCATATAGCTGGAATATTGTTGAGTGTGGCGTTCAACAACAAACAAAGAAAAATATATGTGTGTGGACAGCATGAATTGTTACTCAAGCCACTGGCTTGCCTGACCCAATCTTAGTTATTTAGCCTACGACCTGCCATTATAGATGTTGTTAATAGTTACAGTGTGAAAGAATAGATCTTTAGATTAATATGTAATGATATCAGGGTTGGAATCGAACTTTCATGACAGTGAAAGTGTGTAAATGAAAATTCATTTTCATGTAACAAAGGAAAAAGAAACCAATACATAATTAGACTAAAATGAAACGTTCAAAATGAGCTTGTAAACCATTTCAGAGGCAGGAAATTAATATAAGCTGAAAATACAACATGTTTATACAAAATGAAGTGTATGATGTTTTGTTAGCTCTGCCATGTTGACTCAAAATGCTGCCTGCCTTCTACTACAGGGGGTTCCAGAGCTCTCGCACTGCAGAACTGATGATGCAGAGAGCAAAGAAAATGAAGTTGAACTCTGAGAAGAAACAGAAAATGAGTAAACTTGGTATGGAAGCAATAATTAATTAAGCGAAAGAAACAACCTTCTTTGTTATTTTCACCATTCTTCGCCAGCCTGTATATGACATAGGTCATTGTTTTCTGGTCTTATAGCAGGACAAGGGCAGGTAACTATGTTAGTACCTGTTAAGGGTAGGTAACTCTAAGAACACATTTGTGACACAGTCACTTGTGTATTGGCTGTGATACATAACTGGTTGTTTGTTTTCCTGCATAGCATGATGGGACAACTCCTGTCACAGTAATAATTTGTTTAAATGAATCACATGAACATTTATGTTTATTTCAAAAAGCAAGAAGAACAGGATGCTATTTCTGTACAAATGCACAAGAATGCGCTTTAAATATGATTTTTGTTTTAACAGATCCCAAACAAAGACTTGCTTTGTTTCGCAAACTGGAAGAAACAACAAAGCTGTCTCCAATAAGACCAGTTGTTAGGCGAACATTACCAAGGAAGGAATATTTCCAAGGTAAGAATATAAATAGAAACATTTTGCTGACAATGTGTAAAGTTATGAATATCTGGAAAATGGGAATGGTATGGTTCTTTAAGCATAAGTGGCATTTTCAGATGTTAGATGATGGTTGATCTAAAGAAAAGTGTGTTCCCATTTGCTACCCAATGTAACACTAACTTTCAGATTCATTTAGAACTATTCTGTGCATTAAAACCCAAGCATTCTATCCCACAAAGTTGTATTAGAATTAAACTACCGAGCAAAAGAAAGTTTTCACCGACTTCACTTGACCAAACACCAAAAACAAAGGCATATGTGAGATTTATGATGATTATTTTATAAAAAGAAATCATTTTCCATGAATAAGAATGAAAATACATTTTTATGCCGATATTGCATTCTCCGCAATACACAAAGAAAGAGTCAAGGGGTCTAAATTAAAAATTACACAAATCAGAGTTCATTGAAAAAGTGCATGAAGAGTCCATTGATGACACAGTAGTCAGGTAACACATCATCAATAGCGAGTGTGACCACCCTGGGCATCCATGCACGCCAACACACGCCTCCTCATTGACGTCATCAGTCGGCGGATAACGTCAACAGGAATCCTGTTCCATAAGTTCAATAGAGTCTGTTCAAGTTCCTGTCGGTTCGCTGGAGGCGGTACATGTTGTCTCAGCTGACGATCAAGATGATCCCAGAGATGTTCAATGGGGTTCATGTCTGGAGAACAAGGTGGCCAGGGCAATACGTTGACGTTAACGTTGTTCAGGTAGTCTTGAACAATTCGGGCGGTGTGAGGCCTTGCGTTGTCTTGTTGCAAAATTAAACCCTCTTGGCTGGTGTTGAATAAAGGGCACCACAACAGGTCTCAACAGTTCATCCCTGTATCGCTGAGCATTCAGGTTCCCTCGGATGATAACCAGCTGTGTTGTAATCTGGCCACAAATGCCACCCCATACCATGACGCCTCCACCTCCAAATGGGTGAACTTCTCTAATGCAGTTTGGCGCCAGTCGCTCTCCCCTTCGTCGAAAAACTCGAACTCTGCCATCGGTCCTGAACAGACAGAACCGACTTTCATCTGTAAAGAGCACTCTCGCCCAGTCACATCGCTGCCACCGACGTACAGTTCGTGCCCATTGCAGTCTGCGTTGACGGTGTAGACGGGTCAAGGCCTTTCCACGGAAGGGTCGGTAGGCTCGTATACAAGCTGTACGAAGTCGTCGAAGGACTGTTCGTCTGCTGATGGCATGCCCTAGTGCTGTTGTCGCCATCACACATCTGTTTCAGAAGTGAATCTGCCGGATGTAGTGGTCTTCGGCCGGTGTTGTCACTCTCGGTCTTTCCGATCTTGGCCGGTCTTGAGTCTGTCCTGTCTGTTGGTAGCGGATTATCAACTTGCTGATGGTGGTCTGGGGGCAGTTGAAGGTTCTGGCTATCTGACGTTGAATAGCCCCCATATTGGCCATACCGATCGCTCTGTCTCGTTACGCTTGTGTAAGTCTGGGCATATTCTTGGTGGTTTTTTGCTTACTGAATGCCTGCTCTGTCCAACATCGGTATTTATGCCACAATCACACACGTGAATTTGGACCGATGTCTCAAAATCACGTTTTGCACGTTTTCAACAATGCATGATTTGGAAAGCTGCGTTCGAAAATCTGCGTTGTGGTTGTGGTCATGTTGCATTTGGGCGAATGTTTTCTGCGGGGGTTCAAACCTGTACCAGCTTTTTTGCTTTTTATACAGCTATTTTTAAAGTGAAAACTTTCTTTTGCCCGGTAGTTTAGTTTGTTTCACAGACCCTGAACCATTTTATTTGCCCCTCTGCCCAGCCCTTACTGTAATGCCATAGCTCAAAATGAATCAAGTCTAGATTTTCCTTTTCAATTTAAAGGGTGCTTTTTGTGTCTATCAAAATTATATGTTTTCAGAGACTATACATTAGTCTTTATTAGAATGTACGAACAATGGTACTTTTTGTCTTCTAACATTAACCAAAGAGGGTATTCATGGCGATGTTTCTTGACATAAAATGTCTCCCTGAACATCAGTCTCATTAAGTTCAGTATGATATCACTCAGCATGAAGATCTAACGACACCTCCATAGGTAGCGTCAAGTGAACCAATTAGATGTCAGACTTCTGAGAATTTGGCTTCATTTCTTTACAAATATAAACTCGAAAGGAGACACCTTTGGGTGTGGGTGCCATGGCAAACAGAAATGACAGAGGATAAGATATCCACTTCAATATGATAGCTCAGCTTTATTTTTTGCATTTGGAACTTCATGATTATTTTTGTTTTTGACACACACAAATCAAATATGCTTGTCTGAATGCTTCTTTCACTCATAATAAGAATTCAGAAGTCTCAATGCTGATTGGCTGATAACTTATATCTTCACAGAGAGGTTTCATAATCAAAGTGAAATATCTGATTTTATAAACCTATTCATTGGGATCTCTATTAAGTAAGAGAGTTCTTTCTATAGGCATTAAAACCTATTGTGAGGTTTTACTTTCAAAGTAAAACCCATTAAGAGGTTTTACTTTCAAAGTAAAACCTATTATGAGGTTTTTATTTTCGTTCGGCAGGTTTTACTTTGAATGTAAAACCTCAAATCCCAGGTTTAACCAAGTAACTGAAAAAATGACAACATGTAGCAATTCAAAATATAATTCAATTAAAATTGAATGTCAGGTGTACAGTTCCGCGTGGACATTTAAAAGCGACATCACTTCAGAGTCTCTGGTGAACATCTTCCCGAGGCAAGAGAGTTAACTGACTATAAAAGTCCAGTTTCCACCCTTGCCGAACTAGGCTGGTATTATGGAGTTACATTTTGGCTGGACTAAAGAGTCTATGCATAGTCCAATCAAAATCGCTCACCGAAATCGAAATCCGGTTAGTAAACTGTCAAGCAGATTTCGGTCGATTGCAGGATTTGTAAAGCATGTGTACCACCAACTCGTTGTCAGCAGATATTTTCCAAATCTTCTATTGTTTTTAATCAAGGTGCTCACGTGATTTGATGCATTTCACGATGTAAGACCCGTTTTATCACAATATAGATATTGATTATCGATCAGATCGTCCTGACTTGGCGCAACCATTTTGTGTGAAGCAAACGCAAGTGATACGAGAGGTGGAATCTGATTGGTCCTTAGGAGAGGCTTAGAAGGGACATAATTGGTAATAGCCACTGGTGGTGCTACGATCGAGCCCAGTAATTCCAGCCTAGTTCGGCAAGGGTGGAAACTGGACTTTTCAAGTCAGTTACCTCTCTTGCCTCAGGAAGATGCTGGTGAAAGGACAGCGAGGTTTCAAAACATGTGCTTTTAAACAAGTGCTTATCAATGCTGCACAATTTGCACGTGCAGTAAATGCTAGCCTTTACATGACAACTACCTCTATGTAACAGTTGGATTGTTTAAAGTCGAAAATCTTGTAAAACAAAAAACACCTTTAAAATTTGCGAATTTTCGTTTTGAAAAGTTTAAAAGAAGTGGAATATTGCAACGCAAACATTTAGTAACCGAAGATTTCACTTTCATTTAAAAGTAAGTATTTTAGTTGTGTTTTGTTGTTGACACATCCAAATGCTCTTGGACGCCTGGCAAGTCAGCGAATTTCACGTGCAAGTTATGATATCACGTCTTCAAGGAAGAGCTATAATGAAGCGCCTCATTTATAGATGCTTGTTATAACATTTAATAAATTAAGATGGTTTATAAGTATGGAAAAACACTTTCCCTCGGTTTTGGTAGACAGAGCATGCCCTGGGGATCGGGAAAAACCGCTTCGCCCCCTTGGTTTTTCCCTCTCCCCAGGGCATGCTCTGTCTACCAAAACCTCGTAAGTGTGTTTTCTCCAATACTTAATGAGAATCTTGCTTTAAACATCCTCCATGACTCAAAGTTAATCAACAGGAACATACATTGTCTTCAGCACTTGACTTTATATATGATACTTTACCAGTTTTTAATTATTTGTATTTTTAGCTAAAACTGGAACTCATGGTATGATTAGTAGCTTTACTGTATGTGGTATCTCTGTGTTGTGTTTCCAGATGTGGCGTCTGCTTGTTGTAAGTGTTAGCCTAGGATGCTAGGATGCCATATCACTGTCCTAATTAGCCAAGTGGGTGTCACCACCATACCCTTGTTAGTTGGTTTGACCAAGTCATCAAAGCCTACGACCTTGATCACTTTGAACTTTCCTCCCACATTAAGCAAACCCACTATGACAGAACAGAGCCCGTTGGGATTCTGCGTCAGGACATAAGTCCCCAACAAGCTGTACTTCTCTTATGACGTGACTAACCAGCATGGGTGTTCAGGCTTGGTTGATGCGTGTCATTGTGTCCTAATTGCGTGGATCGATGCTCATGATGTCAATCACTGGATTTTCTGGTTCAGAGTCTGTTATTTAGTTGGAATATTTCTGAGTGCAACAGCAAACAAAACAAAATACAAAGGTAGAACAGACTTACTGGCCAGTGTGAAAATCCAACTTACTCACTCACTCACTCACCCACTGTCTGCCTGTCACAAGAGTCTAGAATGTTCACCATTCTTTCTGTGCCTCTGCATTATATTGATGGGTAGTAGTAGATCACTAATGCAATATGCTTGAGCACAGTTAAATTCACAAGTTCAATTAACAGCTTCTTATTTGTTTAAAGTAGATCATGTTCTTAGATTATTGTCAAACTTTGTGTTCGAGTGTAAATAATAAGGACTATTTCAGATGTATTTGCCATGGGGCTTTCTTGTTGGTAATGTTTTAATATCAAAGACCACTTTAGCTTGATTTGTTTTCCTGATTTATGAGAAGAAGATAAAAAGAATAGGTTGGTTGTAATAAAATAAAATTGCAAAAACATATTCTTTCTGGAGGAAAGTATGGTTGATGGGGAAAAATGGAAGCTGCATATGTGTAGTGAAAAAAGGAAGAAAGTAGAATCTAGGGCAATCTTGGTCCAAATATAGGTCCATTTGCACCCAGCACATTACTGCTTTTATTTATTTACTGCGATTAGTTGTAGATTGAGGTCACCTTAGTTAAGTCTTACTTTACATGTTTTGGTAACAGTTACTTACCTTTCCATATGAATCAACCAAGCTCCTCACAGCAATAGCTCATTCGTGGAGCTCTCTATACTATCACTGCCACTAGTAAAAAACAACCACGCTTGGAGTTGAACTCACAGCCAACTGACTGTTATGTTTACAAACAAGTGATGACTGCCGTGATGCCGAATACTCTTACCCCTGCTAAATATTACTTATCTAGTTTATGTAACAGAGGCTAAATACAGTCTGGGCAGCCATGTTGTTTACTTCTTGATTGTATGTTGTCTGCTTCTTGACTATATGTTTGTTTTCTGGGGTCCAGCTCGAGAGGATGAGATTCAACGCCAGGACTTTGTGAAACGACAGGAGGTGAAGACACGAAGTGTGCGCACATATGAGTGGCTGCACACACAGGTTGCCAACTTCCAGGAGGGGTAAGCAGAATTTTGTAGACATATCGCAAAAAGTGTTGTAGACTATACACTGAAAATAAGGCTCCATCAATGGTTGTTTCTGGGTCTCAACTAACAGTAAATGTGAAGCTGTACTTATGGTAGCTTTGCTGTTAGTATATTAATTTCTCTCACATAAGACCCCCATTCCCATAGTGGGTATATATTGTGAATCTAAAACATTGCAGAGTAGAGATTCTGTTGTCATTTTGGTGTTTAGTTATCATCGAACATGGAATAAAGAAAGGAATGAATGAACGAACGAACGAACAAACAAACAAATAAACAAATAACAAACAAACAAATAAACAAATAAAGGAACATGGAAATGTGAGTTGGAGGAAAGACGAACGAAAGTATAACACCATAGAAATATCATTGCAATAGCTGAGATAGCCCCAGTACCTTTGCATGGAGAAGTTTGGTGAAAAACCTGATGAACTGGGCCTTGTTCCACAGATCTATCATAGCACTGGTAGTCTGTGTTATGTTTTGGACTGAGACTGTCATTTATCTATCCACCTTCCCGAGGCAAAGGAGTTAACTGACTATATAAGTCCAGTTTCCACCCTTGCCGAACTAGACTACAATTAATTTCTGGGCTCAATCAAAGAGCCAACAGTGGTAATGTCGCTTCTGTGTCACTCCTATTGACCAAATCAGATTCCACCTCTCATATCACTTGCATTTGCTTCAAACTAAATGGCAGCGTCCAGGGAAGACAATCTGATTGATAATCAAGGTCAATTTTGTAATAAAGCATGTCTTACTTTGCCATGTGCATCAAATCACATGTGCACCCTGATAAAAATACATGAGAAGAATTGGAAAATTTCTGTTGACAGCATGTTGACAGTACAGATGCTTTGCAAATCCTGCAATCAAACGAAATCTGCACAGCAGTTTACGAATCGGATGTCAATTTCGTTACGCAATTTTAATTGGACTATGCACAGACTTGTTGGTCCAGCCAAAGTTTAGCTCCATACTTCCAGCCTAGTTCTGCAAGGTGGAAACTAGGGCTGGGACGAGTCCAAATTTACTACCCGGGTACTCACCCCCCTATTACCTGACCCTACCGGGTACCCATTGTAAGTCTCAGGAGATGTCTCAAAATGTCCGATTGGGAACATTTTTAGCATAGCCCTGGCAAAACGTATTTAGATACACGTAGTAAACAATCTGGTCATTCATACACTGAAGCTGAATTAAGTTATATCTTTATTCAACCTTATGAAAAATCAGAAGGAATGGGTGCTTAGTCAGAAAGAAATGTGAACATTAGTGACTTGTAGAGTAACCAAAGAGTTCTTGATAATTTTTGTCATTAAACAATATATCACGTGACTAACCACGGGTCCGACCCCGATACCCGAGTTTCCCGTCCCAGCCCTATCGAAACTGAACTTTAACAGTCAGGTTACTCCCTTGCCTTGGGAAGATGTTATCTAACATAACTATAACAGGTTTCTGGATTAGAATAGGTCCCGAGCAACCTATTGTTTGTCATATGAGGTGACTACATGGATTGGGTGGTCAGAGTCGGTGTCCTGGTTTATAACATGTACTCTGACGGCGTACCCTATTGGGTTGAGATTGTTCATGATATTAATCACTGGTTTGTATGGTCTTGACTTGATAATTTGCAGGATGCTTTCATATAGCTGAAATATTGCTGAGGTGTGTTAAGCATCAAACAGCAATTAAAATATAAAAGAAACATAGTGTCTGTAAGATTTGAGTGAACATTTGATTGACTGATCCAGGCCGTCAGAGAGGAACAGTGACTATGAGGGAGGTCATCCTGTAGCTCGACACATGAACATGGTAAGTCATCGTGACTTCTACTGATCTCTTTGATGTTAATGATCTTTTAGAAATCTGGGCGGTGGGATAGCGTAGTGGGTAAAGCGTTCGCTTGTCACGCCAAAGACCCAGGTTTGATCCCCCTATTGGGTACAATGTGTGAAGCCTATTTCTGGTGTCCCCCTTTGTGATATTGCTGGTATATTGCTGGTATATTGCTGAAAACGGCATAAAGCCATACTCACTCACTCATTTTAGGAATCAGAATGTAATTAATCAAAACTGTTGGGGGGGGTGAGGGGGGGGTTGTAAAAGAAAAGAATTAAACCTTTATGTATGGTAGTATATATGTAGGTAATTATTGTTTTATAATTAATGTGACTGATAGTGAGAGTATTTGGTTCAACGTCCTTTGAATGTGACTGATAGAAACTCCTTGTTCTGAGTGGGTGGTGGCACAGTGGTGACTGCCATCACTTTTCACAAACAAGATCTGTGTTTTGTCCCCAGAATAGGGACATTACTTGAAGACTATTCCTGTTTTCTAAACCATTGTATGACTACAACAAGATGTACCAATGACACTTGCTCATGTGGGTTATGGTATGAAAGTGTTCCAATCCTCATTTCACAAATGGAGATTTGAAAAAACAGTTATGAGAAGTCATTTGTCTGTTTCTGCCAAGTTAATATATTTCACTAGTTGGGACATTTTCAGGGCACATAATGTTGATGGTATAAACAGAGAATATGTCTGTAATAATTGTCATCATTGCTTACTGGCTCTGGGATGACTTTGCTTTCATAGTTCTAAAACTGGTCATGTTTTTAAACAGGATTACCCTACCTACTTTACTATACAGTGACCATTTCAGAAAACATTCACTGACCACATCTATTTTTGAGAGAAAAATCGGCAAACCAAGCAACAAGAACTAAAAGGCCATTATAATATTATTCCAATAATTGTTTTCTCCTGTACACACAGACTTCTGGATATGATGACTCTCACAGTGTGGAGGAGCGGAGAGGCAGGAGGTTCTCATCAGGTGAAGGTTCAGGTAGGTCATGGGTCATGAGGTCAAGGTACGGATACATCACACGTCAAGAATTAAAGCTGAACATGGAATTTGACTTAGGTGCACAAATTTGCTTATTTCATAATAATCCAATTTAATATTTATGCTGAAACAGTGATGCCAGGAAGTGTTTTGTTGAAAGGTCTTAGATTTGATTATAATACCAGGTATATATATTAAAATGGTAAGTAGCATATGCTTTTTTTTTCATTGCCTCATTGAATTCCACCAATATGCATATTTGGTTTATATGCAGGTTAGTCCTTTAAAAATCTTGCAACTGATATTGAAGGACAAATTCACCCACAAGGTCATTCTGTCAAAAATATCTAATAACTTTGGAAGTGTTGACTGTAATTGGATACCATTTATACTAGTTATCCTAAGGGTTTGGCATTGAATTGTAGGCTTTTGATCATCCTTCCTTGGAGGTCAAGGTGACTGGAATGACCAGTCTCAAGGACGTTCTGCCTCCTTGTGTACTGAATTGACCCTTTTTGCTTGTATGAGATGTTTTTTACAAGAATGAATAAATCATATGATTTGCTGAAATTGAGGGTCAAGGTCATTAACTTTCTTATTAATGTAGCGTGAGACATGGGGCTTTTGTTTTAATGTTGCACTGCATTATTTTAACCTTTTTAGCCTTTTGTCTAAATTGTTGCAAAGTTGCAAAAAGTGGGATGAGTGACAGAATGGTAACGATGTAAAAAAAAAATCATAAGTGACCAAATTTCATTGCATCCATAACTGACAGTACCTGACTGGTCTTGACCTGTCTACTCCAGGTCAAACTACATTCTTGCCTCCGATCAAGCCCAACTCTGCAGGAAGCAGTGGCAGTAATGGTGGCCGGCGGAAAGAGAAGATGTCATGGAGGAACAAACCAACTGACGTGGATGTAGGCTGGGGTGGTGGCCGGAAGAGACATAACTGATGTTTTTTGTTTGTTCTGTTTGATGTTTAAGGCCGCATTCAGCAATATTCCAGCTATATGACGGCAGTCTCTAAATAGTCAAGTCTGGGCCAGACAATCCAGTGATTGACATCATGAGCATCGATCCACGCAGTTGGGATACGATGCTTCAACCAAGTCAGCGAGCGTGACCACCTGATCCCGTTAGTCACCTCTTATGACACGCATAGTCGCCTCTTACCGTAAGCATGGGTTGTTGCATAACTGATGTACTGACTCTAGTGGATGTGTGTTTGTTGTCTGATGTGGACTAGATTTGAAATTTACTCTGTGTTGAAACTGTGAATGATGTCTGTGTGTACTTAAGATGAGGAAGCAACATATACTACTCGACTTTTGATAGGGGTAATCAGATATGACTTTGTAAATATACACTTGACATTATGAGAATCACTTTTGTGCATCATACCATGGACACTTAATACTATATTTAGGGTCCATGATCATACTGCTGGGCAAAATGTAGAGATACCATCAAAATCAGGTAATATGATACCTCCTGCCCTATCACCCACACAGCAATGCTGGACCATGTAGAGCACCATTGCCTATCTGTGGTCAGCACAGAGTAAGGGGCTCATTGAGTTGGGTTTGCTCTTTTTAAACAAAGTGAGGAGAAGAAAGAATGGTAGTTATTGGCTATATTCACAATGTGAAAAACACTTATGAAAAGTTAAAATGTCTATTAACAGTACAATCATAATATTTATATGTTCTATTGAAGTGTTTTAAGTATATGTTTTCATATAATTGGCATATTTTTTCATAAGGCCACAGGGGGCACGAGTGGCCCAGTCGTCTAAGGCGCTGTGATTCGCAGAGTTGCAGAGTTGCAGAGTTGCATCCCTTGGGTACGCCAGAATCCTATGATTGTGGGTTCAAATCCCGGTTCACCCCGATTATGTTTCTAGGTTTGTCAGCACCATACCCGTGCTCGTGGGTTTCACCGAAGTGGTAAACGTCTGAGTGCATCACTTCAGGCTTTCCTCCTACATTAAGCTGACACACCACGATATAACTGTAATACTGTTAAAAGCGGTGTTTACCCAACTCACTCACTCACTCACTCATAAGGCCACCAATGTAACCTTTACTAAATACAGATGCTGGCATCCAACAGTCACATATGTGTTGAACATGCTACTTCTAGCTTAAATATTCAAACTGCCTTAAACAATTTTATGTTAACCTCCAGCCCACGAGATAGTTCTGAATGTGAAGCACTCGTTGGCGCATCCTCTGATATTTTACAAACCGTCAACTAATTATCAACAAAGCCTTGCAGAAAAAAATCAAATGGAACAAACAAAAAAATGGTATGATGTTGAATGTAAAGAGGCAAAACTTAATATGAGCTAATAGGCTAGTTCCATACTGAGAGTAATTTCTATAGGGTGGGAGCTGTCATACAAATTACTGGATAACACTTTTGCTAAAGATCCTAAAACATGGGCACTTTTCTTGCATTTGTTCCAGGACTAATCATGGAAAGATAAAAATATCCCTATCAAATGTGGAGTAGTATAAGAGTTCAGAAGTCTTTGAATGTTGTTAACTTTGAACTGTGCCTTTGTAGAAAGCTTTTGAAAACTTAGTGTTACATTGAGCTTTAGTAAACAGATTTCACTTTTTCTGCTAAATCCCCATTTGTCTGTTCTTGTCTCTGAAGCCAATCTGTCACTGGTAAGAGTTCTTTCCCTTAGTTGCCACTGTCTCAGGTTCTTACCCATACTCTGGGATTTTGCTCAAGTTATAAATATCTTTGATTTTTGTTACTTTGTGTTATCCAGTCACCATAGTGTGACTGAAATTGTGTTGAACATATTGTTGAGACACTTACCGTACAACAACGCATCAGTGTCAATATTGTTATTATCCAAATCAGAACAATGTGCAAGTGCACTTTGATACGTAACAATGCATTGTATTTATGTAGTTCCTGTGGTATTACTGCTTGTGTACAAGGCCTGTGTTTTTAAAGATATTTATGATGGCTTGAAACTGCCAGTGAACGAACAGTCTTAAGAATACCACCTTAAAGATTTTGATGACACTACCAAAAACCCCAACATCTGTGTCATATTTAACAGATCAGATTAATTGCATTTAATTGTGCAATTCCTGAATGCCAACTACTAGTAACATCAACTAGTCAATTACTTCATCAAATCCAAACAAGATTGTCATTATTATTATTATTTATTATTATTATTATTATTATTATTATTATTATTATTTTTATTTTTATTAATATTATTTTTATTATTATGAAATGTGTTTTGGTATGTCAGTACTGCATAACTATGTCAAACATATTATTGATAATGCATTTTTTTGGTGTGCTATCGTCAGTAATGAAGTTAATTCAGTCATACAATTTGTTATTTATGCATTCATTTTGGAGCGTATTGTTTAAAGTGGAGCTGTACTATTAAAAATGACACACGTTACCAAGTCTCAGAGGGTTTTTAATATCATTTTAAATCACACTTAAAGAATCTTTAGTGTCATGGTGTAAATTTTCATACAATTTTTCATCTAATACTTAGACCCACAGCAGGTGATAATATTTGTTATCATGGTTTTTTACACATCTGTGGGTGAGAAACCCATTTGAGATAACTGGTATCAGACATATGTGTGAGCATGAATTCTGGGTCCGTGATTGGCTCCTCAGTGGTGATGACCAAAGGTCAAATAATGACAGACTACTTTCTTGATTGTAATTTATTGATAACTTACTCATGCTTCGGTCGAATTCACCTATGCCTGTGTCGAAATGTTATGGTTTTAGAGTGTTAATAAATGTTTTTTGGTCTTGTCTTGTTTGCATTAACATCATTGCCTTGATAATCCACGGATATGGCAGACACTTTGATTGTGGAGGTATCGGAAGTAAGCAGTAGGCCAGATGATGTCACAAATGACCGTTGTATTATGTATTAATGCGCCACTGTGATCATGAGAATAGCGAAAAGATATGGATCCATTCAATGCTAAGATGGTGTGAGTTTAAGGTGTGTAAGAAACAGATTACTGCACTCTTGCCTGTGGTTTCAAAACTCATCGTTTCAAAACGTATCTAACTCCCTTTCGCTTGTTAGATATGTTTTGAAACAACTCGTAAGATAAATGGTATCAGACAGACACTTGTGTAGTAATCTATGTAACATTTATACAAATGTTCATATAATTATGGATCCACAGCAAGTGATTATATTAAGATTCAGGGGAAAAGCACATGTAATGACGTAACAAAATTGACAACCTGTTCGTCAACTGTCATGCAGATTTTGATCAACTGCATGATTTGTGAAGCATGTGTACCGCCAACTCGGCACCAACAGATATTTTCCAAATATTTTCATGTTTTTAATCAAGGTGCTCACGTGATTTCATGCACTTCACAAAGTAAAACCCGATCTTTATTATCGGTGAGATCATCTCCACTGGGCACCACCATTTTGTTGGAAGCAAATGCAAGTGATATGCGAAGCTGAATCTGATTGGTCAATAGGAGAGCCATAGCAGGAACATAACTTGTAATAGCCACTAGTGGAATCGAGCCCAGAAATTCCAGCCTAGTTCAGCAAGGTTGAAAACTGGACTTTTACAGTCAGTTAACTCCCTAGCCTCGGTAAAGATGATTATTATATCAAAAATTGTACAAATGTTACACAATGATATTGGTACTGTCAAAGATTATGGTTACTGACATTTTTTAAAATATAATTTTAAAAAAATCTTCTGAGAAACAGTACAGCCAGGAAAGCTGGAACTTTGATGAATTATAAATACCATCTTTTGTTCACATTTGTTAAAATCATCTTCGTTTAATCATAACTAGCTATTTTGCATCTTGAATTGAGCTGAACCTATATTTTAGCTTACACCATGATTCCACATAAGGTTGCAATGTTCTGTACATTTTGTCTAAATCATTTCATAAGGACTAAAATGCAAGGAGATGCTAAACATGGTGTAACCTTGTTGGTTGTCTGTCACACTCGCAGTAATTGTAGCAGTATGACAAGGGGTACATGTGATTTTATGCGTCCCGCGTCCCGGATGTTGGTTGGTTGGTTTGTTGTTTAAAGCCGCACTGAGCAATATTCCAGCTTTATGACGGCGGTCTGTAAATAATCAAGTCTGGACCAGGCAATCCAGTGATTAATATCATGAGCATCGATCCACGCAATTCGGATCGATGACATGCATCAACCAAGTCAGCGAGCCAAACCACCCAATCCCGTTAGTTGCCTCTTATCGACAAGCATAGTCGCCTTTTATGGCAAGCATGGGTTTCTGAAGACCTATTCTACCCCAGATCTTCACGAGCCGGAGGACCACATCTGGCCCTCATCATACTGCTACATCAAATTTATCTTACCGACATGTTTTAATCTACCATTGTAAAAGAAACAAAACAAATTCAAAATTGATAGAAATCAGTTGTTCGATGGATCTGAGGTTATCTTGCCATGTCACGTGACTTTCATTGACTCAGGAAAAGCATGCAGCTTTTTGCTTCAAGTGGGTAGAAGGGATTTATTCTCCTGCTCATAAATCCATGTGCAGCATGTAATCTTCGTGGCGGGGTATAAGGGATTTATTCATCTGCTCAGAAATTTATTTCCCTCCCACTTGGGATGCATAGTATTTAATCAAGATCACAATGAAATAATCAGATCTCGACATTCTTACATTGAGGTATGATAATACTGCTTACTTCAGGTCATCATGATGTTACTAGCCAAGTCAAACAGCCCTTTGACCAGTTGTGTCAAGCAGGTGTTACCAGTGACTAGCCAGGGCAAACAGACCTGTACAAGTGACTAGCCAAGTCAAGCAGCCTTGTCACCAGTGACTAGCTAAGTAAAGCAACCATGACCAGTGACTAGCCAAAGACACAAATCAGGATGATAAGTTTGTTTGCTTTTTAACATCACACTCAGCAATATTCGGCAGCGGTCTGTAAATAATTGAGTCTTGACCAGACAATCCAGTGATTGACATCATGAGCATTGATCTTTGAAGTTGGGATAAGATGACATGCATGAACCAAGTCAGCAAGTCTGCCTACCTGATGTTGTTAGTCGCATCTTGCAAGAAGCATTGGTTCCTGAAGACCAATTCCTACTTACAGATTTCCACCCTCAAATGCTAAGTACTGTAATGTTTGTCAGCAATAATCCTAATTCCTTTGCTGGTTGTAAAAACAGGAGTTGCTTGTATTTCAACTTGTTTCATTTGTAATAAGACAAAATGCATCAATTCATTCTATAGTTTTACGGGCAATATATGTACAATTTTCATATTCAGCAGTAAGACAAAAGGACCTATATCAAATCTTTACAAACCTTCACCTCAAATAGAATGTTATTTGAATGTAGTTAAACAGTCACGTAACTCAAAAGTAACAAAAGACCATGGTCAATAATAGATATAAAAACATACAATATTAAATGCTCATATTTTAACATATAGTTGCTGCCTTGGAAACATTTCAAATGTTATCAACATTTTATCAACAGATCAACAAATCAATTACATTTCATGAATCCCCCCAGGAGCAATAGCACTACAGCTCCATCTCATCCCTAGGACCAGCCTAGAAACATTAAGTTTATTAAGACCCAGGATCACCATACATGGACCACCAGTGAGTGTAGGGAAGGAATCGAAGACTGCAGGACATTAAGACCCAGTTCCACACAGGGTTATGACAGCCAAATTCTTTCGCAGAGATTTACTATTATTAAAGCAACAAGATCGCTTTGTGGATTGGGACACAGATGTAGAGTTGAACTTGACTTCTTTAACATCACCAAGAGGTTTTTATAGTTGGTCCTCTGTAACATCTCATGTAGGGAAGAACTTGACGACTTCAGTAACATCAGACGAAGGGAAGAACTTGATAAGACTTGAACAACATTACATGTGGGGAGGAACTTGATCAGAAATAGTCTGGGCCATTGAATGGACCTGTAATAGTAAAATGTTTTGTTGAATAGCATGGAGTAGCTAATAAATTAAATATCCATCAGGAATATCAGTGCATATCTCCTCCATTGCCTCTTATAAAGGTTTAAACATAACACATTATATATACATATTTGAATGGGCCAAGGGACCTAACTATGGAAACCAAACAAATTGGTGAACAGCTCTGACGAAAGAAAGATTAACTCTCTCAAAGTAATTACGTTAACGTGGTTAATGTTCAATATGTCATAGAAAGAAGCGACAGGGTTTATGAAGACGCCTCAAATGCCCCCACCGCGAGGTAGAGGTGGCCCATCTGGCCTCCCACGGACTTGCAGGGTGGAGGTGTTTGACCCGTGGCTTGTGACCGGCTGACTGGCGGTACTGTCATAGCCTAGGTCGGTAGACGCATGCTTCTCAAAGCGGTTCAGAGCAGGAAGATCATGATCAGTTGAGAAATCCACGGAGAGGCAGTCTTCTTTTAGAGATAGGGCAACCTCCTCCTGTAAATGGTCAAAAGCAATACAAATTACATGTCACAACTTTAATTTGTAGGAACGACATTATTTTTTGACGGTATTAAAGGTCTTACTCTTTATTGCGGACATTTATACAATTTAGATTAATGTCTGACTACAGACATTAAGAACTTAGATCCGTGTCAGGATTCGCTGCCCATTGGTTCGAATCCCAGATTATATCGTATTATGACCCTTGCTCAGTCAGTCCCATGCCCGTGTGGGCATCATCAGGAATATGGTCACAATACAACAATACTGCCTAAACTACGCCTGTGTCAAACCAACATCTCATGTGGAAAGTCAAGCCCTCTTGTGCTGACATCGTACCTGATCAAGGATCAAAGCCGACCTTCTGAGACTAGCCTCGACCTCGTCCTGGGCCAAGGCCTCCGCATCCAACTGAATATCTTCATAACGGCCCTGTTCTCTGACAAGCTGACCTTCCTCTGCAACCCTGTAGCAACCACAGATATAACATACATCCGGTAATACGATAACTACTATAAAGTGTGCCTTTAATAACCTTGTTCTCTAATGCCACATTCAGCACTATTCCATCTATAGATAGCGGCCTGTAGATAAAGGAGTCTACCAGAAAACCAAGTGACTGAAAATGTTACCCAAGCCGTAGGGGTATGATGACATGCGATCAACTAAATCACTGAGCCTGACCACCCGATCCATTAAGTCACCTCCTAGGACCAGCAAAGGTTCTTGAGGACCAACAACATGAAGTAACGGAAATTGTGTCCATATTTACCCCTAAATGCTCAACTTTTGTATTTTGATTTAGATCTCTCTTTTTTCCAGTGATCGAATTAACGATCTGAATATTCTTAGTTTTGCTTGACACTCACTTGGTCGGCCGTTTTAGTTTGGATAAACTATATGTTAAAGGTTGGTCATTACAGTAACAAGTATCCAGTTACAGAAGAGTTTGTCATAAGCCCAAGATTTTCATCAATTGATATTAAAAACAGCTTGATATTAAGCAATGTTTATTGTGTCTTATTTTGTTTCTGTAAGTCCAAAATTGAAGATTAATAGTTTGGGTCAGTGTTTTTTAGATGTTTTTTAAGGGGGTGTCCATGTTTGCGTCTTTGGAAAGAGGATTGGGAGACAACACTTTATAAAGCTCGTAAACAATTACTCAAATGTCATCTATTTAGGGGTATATGTGTTTAGACTTCCTTTTTAGCATGTTTTTGTATGATATCTCAAAATTTACTCAGTATGATCATGTTCCCATCTCTCAAAACATTGGCACGATTAGGAAATGCATTATCACTACACAGAAGTCTTAAAATAAACCGTTTGTATATGACGTTTCCAAGTTTGCAAGGGATCTAGAACAAGCAGATATAATCTAAACCTTTAGAAATTTTAATGACAGCTTTAGGGTGAGTAGTACAAATGAGAATTGGACTTCATTTCAACACTTGCATGTTACGGACTTATAACAACTCCTACAAACATGGCTTATCATTTTTAAACCAATATTCTGGTTAGTCGAAGTGGGCCTTTACTGAACATCGTAATAAACTTTAAATTTAATAGTCACTTAGTTTTAACACGTGACGCCTAATATAACATTTATATTCAATATCTCACCTATCCTCCTGACATCGTTTTAGCCTCACAAAATCAAACTGCAGACTCGTCGACTCGGACCCGCCGTCGTCTGCCGAGTCGTCCAAATCTGTAAGTGACGTCATCGAATCGTGATGGCAACTCATGTCCGAGACTGACTGTCGTAAATCCAAACGGGAACCGTAAAGGTCATTCATTGACCTGGAACCCCTTAGATTGCCTCGATGATAATGTTCATCATCACTCATAGCACCCAGCACAACACCAATATCATCCAAGTCCAAACCGTTCCTCAAGTCTCGATAGTGTTCCTCGAAGCGTCTCTGCTCTGTCGTATTGTCATCAAAACTGTACAGAGATTTATCCCGTGAAGAATAAAACACCGGATCAGTTAAATTCCCTACGGATCTAGACAGATTTCTCCCGTGGCTCGTTTTCGAAGCAAAGACGTTACTGTTCTGAAAATCCAGCATTTGTGATTTGGTCCCATTGGCTGAAGCTCTTTTTAAACTGACGTGAAGAAGATCTGTGACATACTTCAATTTAAGCTCACTGGGAAGTTTGCTAACTGATACCTCCCGAATTCGGTTCACTATCGAATCGTAAGGATCGTCATTCTCCACTACGTCTATGCCGGACTCAGAACCGGTCATGTCCTGGACAGGTGGAATTTGGCCCTCTGGGAAATACTGACTAGATTTCACATCATTTTGATCAAACGTAAAATGCTGCACCGCTTTATCTGGGTCATCTGGCGTAAATGTCACGCGCACAAACAGCTCTTTACCTTCATCCTGAAACCCGTTGGGTTCCTCTACTCCTGACTTCCGGAGAATGAAATTTTCCGAATGCAATGTCAACCTAGCATTACTGCTGTCTTTCGGACCATGTTTCTTGTGTGATTTGTCGTGGGTCGTGCCTGGCAGTGTTTTCGTATGGTCGGATCTATACCTTTTCGGTTTAATGGGTTTCCCATCGGATGTGGTTCTGGGCATACTGCTGTGTTTACTGGTGTTCTTCGTGTACAGTTTCGGCTTGGCTTGGCGTGGTTTGCTCATTGGGCTGCCTGGGCCCATTGTTTCTTCTTTCCACTCAAACGCGGCTGTTACCAGTTTGGTCGGAAGTCGTCTGCTTTTCAGCAGTCGTTGAAGAAACCTTACCCTGAAGTTATAAAAAAGTTTATTATCCACAAGGTTCAAAATAAGCGATTAAGTTAAATGAAGGACAGTGTAATGAGGACTTCACGAGCTCAACGACGTTGTTGGCTTTTTGCAGACACTATTGTTTGTGCAATGTTTAATTAGTTTGTTTATTGTTTAACGCCCCTCTCAAGCTAGCTTTATAATCAAGTCTGCATCACACAATCCAGTGATTGACATTATGAGCATCAGTCTACACATTTGGAACACGAGGACAGACATCAACCAAGTCAGCGAGGCTAACAACCCAATCCCGTCTGTCGCCTCTAACAACAAGCATGGGCTGCTGAAGACCAAGTCTAGCCCATATCTTCACGGGGGCAATGTTAAGTGACGTTGCAGTAGAAGCTGACGTGTATCGACGTCATGAGTACACATCTTCCCGCATCGGCTCACTCCAAAGAAGACTACTTCTTCACAGCTAATTATCAATTAAGAGATGTTCCTTATGCCTGAAAATTGTTTCCGAGGCCGAACGTGTAACTTTGAATCGGCGACCTGTAAATAATCCGAGTGTGGACCAGACAAACCATCGATTGATATTATGAGCAACTCTGACAAGCAATCAAACCAAGGAGCTGAGACTGACCACCTGATCCATGCAGGCGCCGTACGACAAGCTGATTACCTATTCTTACCCTGCTCCCCATAGGGGTAGCTATACATTACCCATTGTTATTTTCTAGAAAGAATATGCAACGTACCACAAGAAGTAGGAACTGTCAACAGTACAAAGATATGTCTCTGACGTCAACCTTTATTGTTATATCGTGATGTAATGAACAATGGGTGACGTCATAGTGTTGTAATTGTCCTCCACGATGAGGCTATGTGGCATCATACAGCTTCAGTTGATCACTGCATAGATTCGATAAGCATATGTACACATGTCAGAAACTGATGTAACTACACCTTCAACCCAATAGGTAACATGGATGCATATCATTGCCCTCGGAAGCATTGTAAAAAGATTATTTGATCTAGCTTCAACATACAATCCCGAACAATAAAGTCATTGTAGATGCATTATTAAGCCGTTTTTCTTGAAGGGTCTCGCCATGGAAAGTCACATACTTGCAGGCCTCACCCCGGGCATACATGTCCTTGAAAAACATTGACTCGCTGTGAGGTGATTTTAATTAAATTATTACTTTACAATATATGTATATTTCTAGAAAATTAATTTATTATTTGTCATGTGAAATGTTATTAAAGTGTTTTGTGTTAAAAGAAGGTAGACACCTCTCAAATAAACTCGGCACATCCATAGGACACAAGCTATTCTATGTGACAGCCAGGCATACTTTGCACTGAAGGGGTTAACACTATATGTGTACATAATATATGGATTCCCGTACAAGGTAAACCGGGCACAACAGATCACAGTGTAACACATATTAGTTTGCCCTATATCCCTCGAATGCTTACAAGTAAAGAGAAGCGCTTAAGACATACATTCGTTTTGCAACTCAGTGGGTGAAGTTTTAATATCTCGTCCCAAACATCTTTTTGTTGTTGACTCAACATAATTGATAAATACTACTGGGCTCAAGGTAAGACTCGGTTTCTTCAAACCACGAGCAGAAATAAATTATAAAACGTCGACGCCGGGGTACAGGTGTACATGATGAAGGAAATGCGCTCACGGTGACTCAGCAGACGGAGTTGTTTCCTGGACGGAATAGCTTCTTAGAACTGACTGGTTAGGAACCAAAGTAAGAAGACATTAATTTGACAACAAAAAGTGTAATTATTTAGTCTGTTAACTATAATACCTTGATATTCACAGCCTCGCTTAAAAGTGCTATTTTGGTACCAACTTCACAATCCTCAATTATGCAATGTACTATAGCTCCGTTCTGTTTTGACAACTATTTATAAAAACGAATAGATATATAATACACTGCATACATATTTATGAAAAAAGAATAGAGACATAATATGTAAGGCAATGGAAAGAGCAATTTCACCGATGTGTGCGTATGTAGATGCACAATGCTGTGGGTTATTATTTTCATGGTTATGCTTTCATACAGACGGATGAACCACCTGAATCAATGGGCATAGATTCGAGGTATGATTAAGTTCTAAGCCTCACATAGAAGGAATTGCGTAATAGTGAAATCGTTTGTTGTGGACATTACATGTAATATGGAGGTATATCCACAAAAGTGTGAGTAAATTGAGTAAAGGGTTTCGCTGTTACAAGTCTGGGATCTGTGACCTTTGGAAACTGAACAAATTTTAGGAACTTATCAATCAACACTCGTTAAAGTTGATCAATTAGTTATTCTGATCTATAGATACTCAGCAATATTCCAGCTATATGACGGCGGTCTAAAAATAACCCAGTTTGGACCAAACAATTCAGTGACTGATATCATGAGAATCGAACCACGCAATTTGGATACGATGACAATCATCAACCAAGTCAGCGAGCCTGACCGGCCGATCCCGTTAGTCGCCTCTTATGACAAGCATTGTTTGCAGAAGACGAATTTTAACCCAGATCTTCACTGGTCTCGCAAGTACTTGAATGAATCGATCCTCAGTAACTTAGAACTGTTTATCTTATACATTGTCAACTGAATGAGCGAGTGGATTTGCTTAACGCCGCGCCCAGTAATGCTTCAGCTACCTGACCGTAATTAATCGAGTCTTGGCCATGTGGTTGCACTGCAGCGTGAACGTCAGAGACACGGTACGGTCACCTGAGAGACGAGACGATTGGCGGATGACTCACCTGAGAGCCAGGGAATGTGCCTTCTGCTTGAGTCCCCTGTCCACCCGATGTGGTATGTCCGAGTCCAGTTTGAGGATGTGCTCCTCGCGGGGAGGGGGGTGCTTGTTGAGGAAGCTGATGACGGCCTGCCTCCATTCGGGTGGTGTGTGAATCAGTCTGTTGGGGGACATGGGATCAACTCTCTCTTTGAGACTGTCAGGGAGGAACTTCAGGACCTTCTTGTACCAGTGGACTGACTAGAATGCAAAACTTACATGAAATAATCTACATCTCAATATAATATTATCTTCTGTAATGGCGGACACACAAAGAAGTGGAGCTATATTGAGTAGGCGTGTCAATAATGTTTTCATCAGATAAATGGGTAAACCTGTGTTCAGCGCATGACCGTTACAAGATTCTTCTTACCTTTTCATACAGAAGGAGAAAGACATGGACAGACATGTAAATATCTTGGAGTCTCTGCAGGTCCTCGGCGAATGGGCTGATGACATCAGTCAATTGCTGTGTGACGTCACTAATGTCGCAGACAACTTGCGCGTTTTCTTCCGCCAAGCGTCGCAGCTTCTGCAGGGTCTCTGTGGCTTGGGTCAAGAGGTCCTGGGGGCGAGACGGAAGACGTTGATTGAAGAATAGGCATTTGCACAAAAACATTTCCTGCTGGCATACACATACACATATAATTGTTCAAACTGCAACACTTGGGAGTTCACCGGAGTTCGTGGATGACTTGACGTGACCCCGACATAAGAAGAACTTATGACATACTGAAGAAGAACGCTATCTCCCCTTGGCGTCATACAAGCAGACACGGCACCTACTGAAGAAGAACCCCTTCTCACTTTGGCGTCATACAAGCAGACTCAGCGCCTATTGAAGAAGAACCCCTTCTCACCTTGGCGTTATACAAGCAGACACAGCACCTATTGAAGAACAACGCTATCTCACCTTGGCATCATACAAGCAGACACAGCACCTACTGAAGAACAACGCTATCTCGCCTTGGCGTCATACAAGCAGACACAGCACCTTCTGAAGAACAACGCTATCTCACCTTGGTGTCATACAAGCAGACACAGCACCTACTGAAGAAGAATACTATCTCCCCTTGGCGTTATACAAGCAGACACAGCACCTATTGAAGAAGAACACTATCTCACCTTTGCGGGTTCATACAGCGAGGTGGTGAAGTGCGTCCTGTAGAGTTCCGCCTGGCTGAGGGTCTTCCCGATGGCTGGGTGGTCCTGAAGCTGTGGCTTGTACTTCTTCACTATAGAGTGGTGGATCTGGACAGGGATGTCGGAATAAGTCACATCATTCATCGGACATACAGCTTAAACATTTCTTAAATCACTTATTGTGGGCGAACAATGCCTTTAATATCATTTCAGTTATATCACAGCTGTCAGCTTGACATGGGAGGAAAGCCCTAAGTGAAGCAGGTCTGTGTCACTTTGGTGATACCCGTAAGTCAGGGTATAATATTGAAATACTGCTCAAAGCGGCATTAAAGTCAGTCGCCATATACTGGCTGGCAGATTCAGTGTTACACAAGATCAACCATCTAGCCGTGTATCTCTCTCACCGTCGTAGACCTCTCCCGACACTTCTGGACCTGGTGGGTTACGTCTATCCTGTTCTCAGCTGCTGCCCACAGTTCCCCGAGTTCCTTCTGGTCGTCTGTGAGCAGACGATAACTCTCGCGCAGACGACTCTCAGCACTGCGCAGTGTGGTCATGTGCACCTGAGCGAGCAGTCCATGCGTCTCGGGGTTCTCCAGGAGGTACAGGGCCTGCTTGCACTGCTCGATTGTGTCATCAAGGCGAATCTCCCTGTAAAAGGATAATTATTTAGGAACTTTCTGTTTTCACACTGTGTATATTCCCAACAGGGTACAATGTGTAAAGCTCCTTTGATATGGTTGATATATTATTAAAAGCGGTGTGAAACCATACATACTCAACAAACAAAAACAGGAAACATACAATTCAAAGTTTATTTTGACTGTGACAATGGCCTGGTTCTCCCTAAAATGGATGGGTCGTCAGGTGATGTCCGTGACTGGCGGCTGTAGACGTGCCCTGATGGCTGGATTACTGATCATGTTTTCAATCACTGATTTGCCTGAGCCAGACTTGTTTATTTACAGGCCACTGTAATCCGTGAAGATCCGGGGTAGAATAGGTCTTCAGCAACCCATGCTTGCCGTAAAAGTCGACTATGCTTGTACTAAGAGTCGACTAACGGAATCGGGTGGTCAGGCTCGCTGACTTGGTTGATGCATGTCATCGTATTCCAATTAGGTAGATCGATGCTCATGATGTCAATCACTGGATTGTCTGGTCCAGACTCGATTACTACAGACAGCCGTCATATAGCTTAAATAATGCTCTCGCTCACTCACTTCAGAAACGACATGTTTGTTTTGTATGTTGATTGTTGTAACAATCGAGTCCGGACCAGCCAAACCGGAATGGATATGCATGACTAGTATGTTGGTAGCATTGTATGTAGTCTCACTTGAGTATGGCTTGATACTGCTGCAGCTGTTCCTGCCTGAGTCGCAGCAGCTGGTCGGAGGGTTTGTCTGCCAGGTCGTAGTCCTGCAACAGCTCCATCCGGTCCTTGATGGCAGGCAGCTTCAGGAGCAGATCATCACTGGCCTGCAGGCCTGGCATTATAGTCTGAAGGCAAGATTAGGCGACACTTAACTCGGTGTATTATATTCTGGAGGCGAGATCGGTCGACATTTATTTGTGGGTATCATTGTCTGGAGAAGTCACGATGTGGCTGAAATATTGCCGATTTAAATACTAACATACTCATCCATTGTCTGGAGGTGATATTTAACTCGATGTATATCACCTGGAGGTGGCACTGGACGACAGTGTAACGCATATATGATAGTCGTAAGGCAGGAATAGGCGACATTTTAATAAATATTTATAGATAGCGTCGGAAATAGACAAAATTCAGCTCAGTTCATGCTAGTCTGGAGGAGAGAATTGTGAGTTCTAACTCAGAAAATCATAGTCTTGGGGCGAGCTTACGCGAAACAGCTACCTGCCTGGTATTCTGTATTTTGTGCAGGTCAAGCCGGTATTATCGCTATTATCGCTATGGTACTATTGTATAATATCTAGGTCATAAATCAAATTATTATTCTATTAGTCACATTTTGCTGGGACCGAAGAGTAGCCAATGTTCTTTATCTCTAAAATAGTAGGTTGCGTGTCACAGCTTTGAAACATCAATATATTAGTAACAAATGTTATATTTGGGATAACACTTTCTTAGTAAAGTACAGATTCTCGTACTTTTTGGGGTTGAGACCCGTCCGGGATTCGAACCCACACTTACCAGAGTGAGGCACCTAATCGCCAGCACTCAAAGTGGGTGAGTGGGTTAGATCACTGACTTTGGGTGCTGGCGATTAGGTGCCTCACTCTGGCAAGTGTGGGTTCGAATCCCGGACGGGACTCAACCCAAAAAAGGACGAGAATCTGTACTTTACTAAGAAAGTGTTATCCCAAATATAACATTTGTTACATTTGACCACTTTCTAAATGGCATTGTGTATTTAATATATTAGTCAGTTGGCCACCAACGGAAAAGAGGCTTAGTTTAAATTTTCGTTCCCATATTTTCCTGTATACCTTAAACCTTTTCTATTGCATAAAGGAGGTATCTGTACACAATTTTCATTGGGTAGTAAGCTTGCAAGTGTGTGCGTGAATTTTCAGGGGGTCGAAATTGCATAAATTGAAGGAAAAATGCATAATTTGACAAAATTGGCTGTAACATTTTTACTCAGTCATTAAACTATCCAAATTATGTCTTTGATTTCAGGTAATGTGTTCGGTTATCTGAATTTGGCAAACATTTTGTTTCATATAACTGTTATTCTAATTCTCAGTGGAAACATTGATAAAAATAATGTTTTTTTACTTCATTTTCAAATCTTGTGAGTAGGTAAAACACTTATTCCATTGAATTGTGACAATAAAACCACTATAACTGGGTATTAAAATCTGCCTGAACCATTGTACTATCCTATACAGAAAACAAAATGAAAATATATTACATAGGGGATGAGATATTGTATACAATGTTACCCCACCCCCGAAAAACCAATTTTGACGAAAATTGCTTATTGAGATATGGTGGTAGATTATGTTGATGTAGTGGATAAGTGGGATAATTGCAACAATCCTTTAAAACATCAAAATAGTAAACTCAAATTGAAAAATGATGTTTCAAGTTTTTCTGTGAACATCTACGGTGGCCATCTTGAATTTCAAGATGGCCGCCATTTTGACCTGTTTTCAAAATCAGCATGCCATAATATGCAATAACAAGCAGGAATCATACGATACAACAAGACGAGGCCTGGTGTAAGTATATACTATGTCTACACTGTCACCAGCTGTTGCTTACATGAGCATAATCCGCATACACTGGTATACAATTGGCACTGCTGTGGCAGAAATAGGTCAGTCGTAACACGTGTGTATGTGATCACGGGGTGTTCATGAATGTAATCTTGATCTGTTTGCAATGTGTACAGAGCTGTGTGCTTATGACCATGAAGTCGGGTAGCTCTTGGTCCGCCTGAAGGTACTGATGAAGACAAGATACGGGCTGTGTGCTGTTGTCAGCAACATTACATTGGAACTTTTTACGAAGGCACTTTAAACATTCATTTTATCTAGGATAGGCCGAACGCGAGCATGAAACCGGAAAAATGCTTTAGACCAGAAATGTACACTTGGTCGGAAGTGAGCACTGGACCGGAAGTGAACCTTATACGTGACATTAACACTGGAAATCAATCAGTTGATGGGATATGAAACTTTGATCGGAAAGAGTCACCACGCCGGGATTGAGCATAACTTCGTAGTCATGAGTCTCCCTCATTTAGAATAACACTTACATTGTGGAAATAAAGCCATGCTTGGTGATTGTAGTGCAGTGACCCCCCGAACTCCCCTGTGAGGTTACTTGGGTCGATGTAGGTGATGAGTTCACGCACAGTCTTCACCAGGATCACCTGAAACACGTCACAAGACATTCTTCACGCTAGCATAGTCACAGCTAGTTGTGTACGACAGAAAGTAGCCACCTCCTTGATCAGCCGTATTAAGTCTAATCATATTAAGGATATTACTGGCACCTACAACTGCACAAGAGTTAAACACACGACGGTTCCTTCACGTCAGCATCACCATTGTTATTAGAAACTGCACGACAGGAAGTAGCCTCTTTCTGTATCAGCGGTCTTAAATGATTGCCTATTAAGGATATCAAAGTCCTGCACAGGAGTTTAAACCCACCTTAAATATAGACACATTAGTGAACTTTTTGCTGGGTTTCAGTCCGAGGAGCTTCTTCAGCTGTCGTGACCTGTCCTTGGACTTGGGTTTCACACAGTACACGGCAGCTATCCGGCCTCTCTTCCGATGCTGTAACAAATAGTCCACATCAGTGTCGATTGCATGCTCATCATACCCTTGAGTCATTTTGATGCGGTCGGGTAGCCTAGTGGTTAAAGCGTTCGCTTGTCACGCCGAAGACCCGGGTTCGATTCCCGACGTGGATACAATGTGTGAAGCCCATTTCTGGTGTCCCCCGTCGTGATAATGCTGGAATATTGCTAGAAGCGGTGTAAAACCATACTCACTCACTCCCTCACTCACTCACTTTAGTCATTTTAATCAGATGTTTTTAACCTGCACATACTTTATAAATTATAGTTTTCTACTTCTCGTTCATCTTCGTAGCTTGGATTATTATCTGTTTCTGACTATGGTTCTGATACCAAGGTCTAATCAGACCGACCTGAACTTACGGTGACAGATAGGTTTCTGGCACACATAAGGGACGCAACTCTGCACAGCGAAACGCGGTGCCTTTGACGACTGGATGCTGCTTGTAGTGAGCAAGTTAAAATGTAACGTCGCATCGGCCACGATGGGATACGATGGCATGCATCAATCAAGTCAGCGAGCCTGACCACCCATCCCGTAAGTCGCCTCTTACGACAAACATAGTCGCCTTTTACGGCAAGTAAGGGTTTCTGAAGACCTATTCTACCCCGGATCTTCACTACTCCTACCTCAACTGTCTGTATGGACTCGACAAAGGTTGTGACATCCCCCTTGGTGGCGTTGTGCAGGTCTATGAGGCAGGCGACTGACGGGGACGTCTGTGACGTTACCATGCTGAGGTAGTGGAGCAACAGGGCCACCAGCTCACAGTGTTCCAGCTCGCCACACTTGATGCTGACCAGGGGCACGCCGAGGCCGTCAGTGCCGCCTGCAGGAGTGAGTGAAGGGATGAGTGGGTTTGTGTGTGTGAGCAAGTAATTGAGAGAAAGAGTGACTGGGTGAGTAGGTGGTTAGGTGGGTGAATGAGTTGTGGTTTAAAGCCACCATATATCAAAGGGTTTTTTTAAGCAAATGTACATTAGGTTAAATGCACTAACACTCGTCCAACGGATTCTCAAAGGATTTGTCATAGGTAAGTCGATTTCGTGAAAACTATTCAGACGATTCCAAAATTATTACATGGCACACGCCTGGTTATCGAACAGCTTAGATTTACAAAACCAGTACTGATACCAGCTATCGCATTTATATATGGTGTCTGCTGATGCCTGATATATTATGTACAGTGCTATCTGCGCAACTTTCTACAAACCGATGCTTTTAAAAAAACAAGACGTGATGAAGCTAAGGCGTCTTACCTGACAAGACGGCGGCACCTCTCTCCAGCAGCGTCTCCGGTACCTGAAGTCTGGGTTGTGTCATCGCCTAGTCTGGGTGAGAGAATATAATGGCGTATAAACACAAACATAAGGCAATACTGACGTCCATCCAGTGACGGATAGTCATAAGAACCCCGTAGTTACAGTCAATTCATTAACATCATCATTGATAGTAGCAGCATCGTCTTCATCCCAATCATCACATTGTTGTTTGTGTTCTTGTTATAATTATAATTATCAACAGATAACAACAACAAAAATGCAAGAGGGTCCCTATGATCTCACATTATTACTGTTGTTGTTGTTGTCGTCGTCGTCGTCGTCGTCACAATCATCGTTATTATTTTTGTCGGCGTCGCCGTCCTAACCATCATTATTATAAGTTGTATAACTATTCTGATCATTAGTTAAAAAAGGGTGCTTCGTATTTTTCATCATCATCCCTACCGTATAGTGAAGGAATGAATGAGTGTTTAGCGCTGCTTTGAACACTATTCCAGTTATTGACAGCTTGATCTGAGAGGAAAGCCCACTTTGGTGAAACCCCCGAGCACGGGTATGGCGCTGACAAATCTAGAAAGATAATCGGGGCGACCCCAGTTATCAGATGTAGCGATGACCATATACAGTGTGAAAGCAAGCATGAAATGGGTGTGGAAATTATATACTAGTGGCGAGGAACTTAGTAATATCATTTTAATGCATAATTGAAACGGCGACTGATTCCTGTCCACCTGGCAATATTTGAGACTGGTCCTGCCAAACCAGTGATTGACATCATAAGCAAAGACCAACGATGTTCCACGATGACATGCAGACCACACATTGTAACTATTAATCCTCGATTCGTACTTACACTACAAGACCTATTCTTAAACGTGCCAAAGGTGTGGGACATAATCTCAATGTCAGTGTTGATTTTGTTGATGATTTTGTACTGCTGGACGGTACAGAAATGAGTGTCAACCAAGCGAAGTGCCATATCAAATCGGCCCAGACTCGGTTTTTCAAGGAGAGGCTATCTGAACGACCACTGCATCGAGTTTATGTGTGGTGCGTTGAGAAGATTAGCAACCCTGCAGAGTCCTTCGCTTGGATGAAGTCGGCTGGTCTGAAAAGGGATACAGAAGGCTTTCTGTTGGCTGCTCGGACCAGTCACTTCCCACTCGAAACGTCAGTGTGTGATTTTGCATCAAAATGTAAATATGAAATGTAGATAATACAATGAATTTAATGAGTACACGGTAAACACAGTATCTAAAGCGACATGATGGAATGGTTCGATCCTTTTATTACCGTCTCCGCAATGCTTGTGGTTTTGACACAGGGGTCCATCCATGGTACGACCCGGAATATGTAGAGGGCGTCATGGCAAATGATCAATACAAAATTCTTTGAAATAGGCCCGTATACAGCCCCAGACGTATCCAGGCCAACAAACCTGATCTTTATAAATCCAATAAAATCATTTATATCATTGAATTTTCTGTCCCTTTTGACACTTATGTGATTGACAAGATTCAGGAAAAAATGGCAAATATGAAGACCTCGCTTTCGAAATGTCACGCTTGCAACCAAGTAAAAAGTTGTCCGACTCTCTATTGTTCTTGGTGCCTTAGGTTTGGTACCTCCCAATCTCCCATGGACTGACATTGGGAGAATACCCGGGTTTGCTACCAGGAGTACAGCCCTTCTGACAATCTGGGTAATGCAGAAAGCTGCAGTGTTGGGGAGTCTTCACATTCTCCGAAAAGTTCTGGGTGGGTTTGACTAAGCAGCACTTCCTGGGAGAAGTCCCATTCGCTGTCTGGGCTGCGTGCAGAGGGAGCAAGGGCCCTGAGCTGATGATGAGCCTAACCAGCCTGATTGTGCCAGGATCACCCAAACCCTCTTTATTATATTTTAATGTGTACATCATCATCATCATCATAATAATAATAATAATAATAATAATAATAATAATATTATTATTTAGCATGAACTCCTTATGTTCATATACAAACACAAAATCTCAAAATACAGATATTGCAATGCACAAAAAAATCTTTTTTTTCTAAGCATAGCAAAAGTAATACGATGAAGTTTTCAAGGCATTTTCATTGTTATTACACATCACCTTAAAAAACTACATTAGCTGGGATATTTCCAAAATGTACCAACAGTAGTTTTCTCACATTATCATTAAGTGTGCAAATTAATATTTGAAAAACGGAAGTCGCCGTCTAAGTTCTTATATTCTAAGTGATGTTCAGACAGCTAAATATCGACCTGAGTTGTTTTTCAGCTTTAAAAGACCAGCTCTTTATCTTACAATAATGTTTCTAGCGTAACTCTCATACATCTGGCCTTTACTCTAAGATATACATCACTCTGGTCTTTCCCCCTACATCAGGCTGACGTATATACATGTATACATATACATATGTACTGTACTAATGCTCAAAATTGCCTTAAACTCACTCACTCAATCAATCACACTCTCTGTCCATTACAGTTGATATTCATTATCAGACTGTATTTAGTAATTTAATTTATTATATTTATATTATTTATAATGTTAATACAAATATCAAACCAAATTTAATATCCATGTTTAAGTCTAATAATAAAGAAAAAACATTTGAGCGTGAGAATACATAGCGGAAAGTATCTGTTGTAAAAGTTCACGACCGAGAGACTGCTACGAATTCCAGGTAACCCAAGGTTAAACCGACATCTTCTTAGACTGATACACGCATTAATAAAATATGTTTTATTTATTTGATACCTATACCTTGTCTAAAATTGGCTCGTCAAGCCATCATTAATATGATAGCACGGCATTAAACTTGCACCAGCTGGTGGGCGACGCTCGATGAAACAAACCATGTGTTCAGGGAACTGTTATTTCATCCCCTGACCAGGTGGCTCATAGTGGGTTACAATACGATACATGATACATGTGGTTGCAGGTTCGCCTTTCGTCGTGGAATTTTCATGTGAAAAATTCTTGACTTTAACTAGTCGAAAAATAAAAAAAACAGTACATGCTAATTAATTGATATAGTAATTTAATGATTCAAAGTAAGAATGGGACGGGTAACTCGGGTACACTGGTCGGGTGGGTCCTGACTAGGAACCGGGTACCCACAGGACTACACGTGATAGTCACGTGATATATTGTTTAATGACAAAATTATCTAAAACTCAATGGTTACACTATAAGTCACTAATGTTCCCATATCTTTCTGACAATGCACCCATTCCTTCTGACGTTTATATGTTTGAATAAAGATAAAACTTCAGTGTATGCATGACAAGATCGTTTTACACGTGTATCTAAATACGTTTTGCCAAGGCCAAGTTCAAACTTTTCCATATCGGACAGTTTGTTCCTACCTCTAAATATCTACAACGGGTGCCCGGGTAGGGTCGGGGTAATTAGGTGGTGGGTACCCGGGTAGTAAATTTGGACTCGTCCCAGTCCTAATTCAAAGTAAACCTCAGGTCTTACTTGAAGAAAGTAAAACCTCAAAGGAGGTCCTATACTCAGAAAGTAAAACCTCCCTATGTATATTCAAAGTCCCTCCTGGCTTACAACATGAGTCCAAGTACTTGCTGAAAGAATAAAAATCCGTGTGAGCAATGGGATGACGTCACCGGAGGTTTATAACAGAAGGATGGAAAATTCACAGATCTGAAACCATTGTGTTTGATCACGGACATGCGATCAGTGCAAAAAATCCAATCATTTACGCAGCAATGAAAGCGGATTTGTGACCACCCGAAAGTCGCCTTTTATGGCAAGAATGGGTTGCTGAAGACCTATTCTACCCTGGATCTTCACGGGTCCAGGGCCCACTTGCATCTAAGCGCTAAGATGATCGTAACTACCATACTTTAACAGCACTAAGATCGCTTTGTGCAAGTGGTCCCTGCGCGACTAATGAGGATCGGGTAATGACAATGCTTGACCTTGTTTGTTTTGTCATCGAAAATTGTTTCTCATCATTGCTCTTGCTATCAACCAGTGTGTTGTCCAGACTTAAATCACTTACAAGCCGTGATATAGCTGGAATATTGCTGACTGCGGCGAAAAAACAACATCCACTTACCCATTCCCAAAATATATATATGTAGGAGTCTGATTGATTTGATGAAATAATCTTTCGGGTTATAAATTCATTCCTTTCGTTCCGCACTATGCACAAGACAGATCACTACAGTTTATTTGTATATACTTATACATGTACATATACATATATACTGTAGTGTAGTTTCATGTGTATGCTTTCATTTGCAGATTGTATAACTGAAAAGAATAATTGAAATAATTACTTCTAAATCTTATCAGTCGGGTAAATAAGAAAAGGGGGTATATTATTCAGTTTGTTCAGCTCCACATATCTTTCTTTTTCTTGAAAAAAGGAATTAACAGTGACGCCGTACAGGCGTGCGAGACAAAACAGCTGAGCGCAAAAGTATTATCTTTGACCATATGTCAAACTGACACGGAGAGCTTCGCGTGTCACGCACTGAGCAACCTCATTAAATGTTATCAATATACTGGAATAAATTTCAAGCAGATGCACTCGTGATACCGAGGACAATTTTTTGCATCATGGTTCTACGAAATATGATCACCCCTATCGAACAGCCATGGTCTGTACCAAACAAAATCACCCACCATGGTCTCCACCAAACATCACCCACCATGGTCTCTACCTACCATGACCCACCATGACCTCTACCAAACATCAACCACCATGGTCTCTACCAAACAGCACCCACCATGGTCTTTATCAAACACCACCCACCATGTTCTCTACCAAACATCACCTACCCTGGTCTCTACCAAACATCAACCACCATGGTCTCTACCAAACATCAACCACCATGGCCTCTCCCAAACACCACCCACCTTGGTCTCTACCAAACATCAACCACCATGGTCTCTACCAAACATCGCCCACCTTGGTCTCTACCAAACATAACCCACCTTGGTCTCTACCAAACATCACTCACCATGGTCTCTACCAAACATCATCCACCTTGGTCTCTTCCAAACATCTCCCACCATGGTTTCTACCAAACATCAACCATCATTGCTTCTACCAAACACCACCCACCATGGTCTCTACCAAACAGCATCTCCCAAACAGCACCAACCACCAAGGTCTCTCCCAAACAACAACACCCAACATGGTCTCTACCAAACATCAACCATCATTGCCTCTACCAAACACCACCAACCGTGGTCTCTACCTAACCATACCACCCAACATGGTCTCTACCAAACCATACCACCCACCATGGTCTCTACCAAACATCACCCACCATGGTCTCTACCAAACATCACCCACCATGGTCTCTACCAAACAGCACCACCCGTGGCCTCCACTAAACAGCGCCCACCTTGACCTCTACCACACATCAGACAACGCCAGAAAAAAGGCTGGAATGGTGATCCCTTCAAAGTGGGATAAAGGCGTAGGGCGTTCAGTTTCAGTTATTCGACTCGATTGCATCCAAATTGATTTTCATTGCAGTAGAATATCAGTCAACAGGTCACACCAGTACACAGAGTTTACATACACAAGCCACTGTCCACACAGCGACAGGGGATGTCTGTTTCGTGACTAGGAGGGAGCAATATTAAAGGGATTGTCTGTTTCATGACTAAGATGAGTAATAATTTAAAGGGATTGTCGGTACCATGACTGAGATGGTTAATTATTTAAAGGGATTGTCTGTATCATGGCTAAGATGGGTAATTATTTAAAGGGATTGTCGGTATCATGACTGAGGTGGGTAATTATTAAAGGGGATTGTCTGTATTATGACTAAGATGGGTAATTATGAAAAGGGATTGTCTAAATTATTAAAGGGAATTACTTTATCATGACTAAAATAAACCAGTCAGTAAAGAGACAATCTGGACCCGATGAATGAACACCACGGTACGATGGCTCTCACTAAGCAAAGTCACAGTGTCGGAAAGCGCTGTCCATTTCAGTTGACAAGCATATAGGTCATTGGGGGTCAAATCTGGAGCTATAAAATAACCAGTCATTGACTAGTCCTCTTTTCTTTCCTTTTATAAGACCCATTGGGTTTCCGGGTAAGAATATAGGTCCCCAGCAACCTATTGTATTTAAATGTTTGTCGTAAGAGGTGACTACATGGATCGGGTGGTCAGGCTCGGTGACTTGGTTCTTGGCATGTCATCGGATTCAACTTGCATCTATCGATGCTCATTATGTCATTTAACTGGATTATCTGATTCAGACTCGATTAATATTTATCTGACATGACAGATTAACTATAGTCATATGAAAGAATCGGGTGGGTTTTTTAAACTTCTTTTGAGTAGTACACTTTGAATCCTGGGTTTTCTTATGCACCATCTCATCATTTGCAGAAACAAAATCTATTTAAGATCTATTATAAATAAAATAACCCTGTTAACACTGCTTGTATTTCTCGCAGAGAGAATTTTCAATATTTGCCTCATCCATAGAGTTTACGATGACTGTTTCATGAAGAGATGATGAGGTTAGTACTTACCTGACTTACGAGATCTAGACAACGATGTAACTAATACCATAACAGTCCCAGCATATAAAAGAACATACAAACCTAATGCCTGACGCAATGTGAGATTTAATCACACTATAAAACCTACGCAATGTAGTGTTTCTCAGTTTCTGGCACATCGACATGTCCTACCAACATCACGATATAGGTCAGCATCGAAGCCAGTGCATATGTGTGGATTATATCAATCTTAAATGCCACGACACGAGGAACAAAATAGACAAAATTGTGTTAAAATCTCTAAAAATGAGTAATATACCTAAAAGCGTCAATTGCGAGCCAATATGTTACTTACCATGCCATTTTCCTGTCATTCAAGATATTCTTATTTTGATGCTGGCTTTAAGCCTGTTCAAACATCGGTCACGTGAGCAACAGGTAGCCGACACCTGCTGCACAAGCCGTGACGTCACTATTGATTTTCGTGTGTCGCATTGTAGTCATGAATGTTGATATCCATAAACATACCACCATAGGCAAGGGCAGCTATGCCGGAGCGTGCTCATTTCAATGAACGAGACATGATGAAAGTATCGACAAATCAGCCGGGGAAGTTACCTGTGATCAATAACGCTTGAATACTCGTGTAGACAGAAACCGTTAGAAACTGCAACTCACCACTCATGAAGTTACTTTTCTTAACGCTTTGTTGATTTAAAGCATGTCAAAGTAAAATGATTTTGTCTAATTGAGATCATTTGTATTAATTCGGTGGAAGATTCGTTCGATTGAAGCAGTTGCTTTTTAATATATTTATAATAAATGTTTACACTGATTGAGTATGGTTTTACGCCGCCTTTGGCAATATGACGGCGGGGAGACCAGAAAGGGGTATGCATATTTTACCCATCTGGAGAATCGAACCCTGCCCTTCGGTGAAGTGGACGCTTAACCACTTAAGTACTAGTAGTCTGTCTTCCAGAATCCTTTGATCGTAGGTTCGAATCCCTGATCATAGGTTTGAAACCCTTGGGTTCCATGCGTGTGCTCGTATGGGATTGGCCGAAGTGGTTAACGTCCTTTAATTATGCGGACACGCCACGTTATAACCTAACTACATTTCAAACTCACTCGTTTCTAGATCCGACATACATCCCGAGAATGATCACCATGTGGGCGTAGATTGCGTTACAATTAATATATACACGACGTGGTTTTATGTGTGTGTCATATGTATCAATGCTGGACGAATGTGCTAGTGAGTTGGGTTGGGCGACATTTTAATCATAAAGCATATTAATTGTATTTAAGCTACACACGTACGACACGTTTAAGTCTGTATATAAACATCCGCCTGTAACGTAACCAGGTGTGAGAAAGTTGCATACAATTAGGTATATTCGAGAACGTTCAGATTTGATTACTTCTTGCTAGTCTGTTGTTTTCGCTGCAGTCAACAGTATCACAGTCACCTGTGAAATATCGAATCTGTGACACCTAAACCAGTGGTTGATATTGTTAGCAGCATCTCACTATGATACGCAATGCTTGATACGCCAAGCATGACAACCCGATCCAATTGTGTGGTCTTACACGACCAGCAGTTGTGTGCTAGGGAACTGTTTTATCCCAGGTCCCCACGGAGACTACATTTACTATAAGGGAACTATTAAAAAGGGGGTGCGACTACCACTACGACTGCGATTACCACTGCGACAAAGACTACGACTACGACTACGACTATCACTGCGAGTACGACGACTAAACCGGAAATTGGTTAGCAGCAACTACCATTTTGTCGCTTGACAGTAAACATTTTGATTTCAGCCGAGCACATGGAGCATGATTTACACAAGTCTTGAGCCGTTTAAATCACTATATTGAACTGAATGTAACTTATATCTTGCACAGAAGGGCTTCTGGGTCTTAATCGTTGCAGTATTAATTTACAACTCTCAATAAAGAGTACAATATTTATATCTTTACTGTTGACGTCATTTTTCCCGATAAAGACGAGTCGAAACCTATTATATGTGCTTTACAGCGTGCACGAAAGGAAAATAACATTTCATACTAGCGTACATGTGTGTCAGTTTTAGCTTTATTAGGTTATTTTAGGATATGTATCCAGTTTTGTTTGTTTGTTTGTTGTTTAACGCCGCACTCGGCAATATTCCAGCTATATGACGGCGGTCTGTAAATAATCGAGTCTGGACCAGACAATCCAGTGATGGCATCAAGCAAGTCAACGAGCCTGACCACCCGATCCCGTTAGTCGCCTCTTACGACATGCATAGTCGCCTTTTACGGCAAGCATGGGTTGCTGAAGACCTATTCTAACCCGGATCTTCACAGGTATTGCATTACATTTGTGTGAGATATTTAACAAAACAAATACTGTACGCGTTCATGGTAGTTGGTTTAACACTGTCTATGTTGTTAATTTTCTGTATAAGCTGACGCTATGTTGATGATACATTTCCTTCAAGGAATAATGGAAGCCATTGTTAATTGCTATTATTGATTACAGTAAATGTTTTTTCACATGCAGTTATATCCAGATTTAGACTTGATTCATACATTAAATAATGTTTCATTTTGACGTGGATGCTAGAAGATAAGGATTAAATGACACATGTAACTCGTCAATTAACTCGATGTCTATGGTTATAAGAGAAAATGTATAATGTAAAATTGGTACTGAAGTAGCATGAATGAGTGCGTATGGTTTTACGCCGCTTTTAGCAATATCGAACCCGGATCTTCGGCGTTACGAGCGAATGTTTTAACCACTAGGCTACCCGACCGCCCGAAGTAGCATGAAAGCACTTGGTATAAGTAACATATCAAACAACGCCACATATGAGTCTAGAAACTGAGGAAAACATCTGCCCCAATCCATAAACTTCAGAACTATTAACCTTTGGCTTGAAACCTGAAGACATCACACCCATCAACCTATAACTGCTTCGGCGGAGTCATTTTGGAGAAGACAAGAAAAGGCCGTAGATATTAGTAAGTTAGTTCATTAAAAGAATTGTATGCATTAAATGTTGGATTGCTGAAGCAGTATTACACATACAGTTGACATGTATGACAGTTAAGCATATACACGAACAATTTCTGAGTATCTCCTAGCTAATTACGTGAAGATTCATACAATAAAGTTTTTACCTCGAGAATAGTTAACCAAAGTAGCATGAAGCAAGTGCCATCAAATTATGAAAAGGAATCAATTTTGAATTGTTTAAATTTATTTGGAATTACCAACAACAAAAAAGTTAACGAACAACAAAGATAAATTCAAAGGAATGTGGTGAAGCTTCGGCTTTAGATTTAAGTTATAAGTCAGGCACTCTGTTTAGCATGGATACCGAGATTGTTGTCTTTAAGCGGCTGTTGGAAGTTGATACCAGATTTGAGTTTTGATAAAGTAGGGACTGCCATTTCTTTTGAGATGTAATTATGATGTTAATAAGCTAAATATTTCAATATCATCCTTTTGTACAAAGACATGTTCAATTGTTGGGTTGAAATTGCAGAAATAGAAAATGATATTTTCAACCAAATAATTTCGAACAACAAATTGATCACAATCAATCTCATTAAAATCAGACCTAAGTTCTCGCTGCCGCTAAATAAAGATATGAGAACATCCCATTAAGGGTCACGTCAGAACGTCAAAACACAAATCTGGTATCAACTTCCAACAGCCGCTTAAAGAGAACAATTTCGGTGTACCAATAGATATTACGATATATTACAAGAACTGTTAAAAGAGCAATACGGTGCAATATGTATCACCCTAAACAACGAATTCAGTTGTTGTTTGGTGCACCCCAGAGCTGGAGGGAAAGATCATAAAAAAACCATATTAAGTCTAGACATGTTTATTAAATGTTGATTGAAAATAAAATAACTGCTCCTTATAAGTTTGTAGACTCATCACAGATGGGCAAGATGCATGCTTTTATTATAGTTCTTCCACTAACCAAAAAGCTGACGGAACTAAAGTTTAAGATTATACAGGTACATAACATTGTTCCGTGTAAAAAGTGGCTTTTTAAACTCAATATATGTGAAACACCAGATTGTGATGTTTGTGAAACAGAAGATGATATGGACCATTACCTATTTAGCTGCAGTATTGTTGCTGAAAAGATTAAAGATCATGAAACATTCCTTTATAAGTATACAAAATAACCTCTTTTAATCAATTCATTATTGTGTGGTTCATTAGATAATACTGATCCTGTATTTAGATTTCTGAACCTTCATGTAAAGTATTTTATATACAAGTCTCATTATGCTAATATTAAGTTTTCTTTTGTAAATTATATCACTGATTTGAAACAGTCACTCATAATATATACTCACACGCAAAAGACACGCAAGTCGAGTATGCAGTATACATGTTATTTATTTTCAACAGTAAAGACAAGAAATACTAATAGGGCAAGATTGACAAAAATCTGACTGAAGACAGTTTAATGGATTAAAAGGCAGATGACATAATTTTTTTCAAATGATAAGGGCTAACACAGTTTCGGGTCAATACCCAAAATGTCAGTCAATACCTGCTGTGACCACCATTAGCATTGATCACTGCCACACATCTCCTGTACATTGAGTGGTTCAGACGATTTGTGAAGGCCCTAGGGATCCTCCTGCACACATCCAGAGCAGCTGTGCGTAGTTCATCGGTAGTTGTAGGGACTGGGCGCACATTGTGCAGACGCCTTTGAACCTCATCCCACAAGTGTTCGATGGGGTTCAGATCAGGGCTGAGGGCTGGCCACGGTAGAACACGGATGTTGTGTTGATGCAGAAAGGCCATGGTAGCTATGGCAACATGGGGACGAGCGTTGTCCTGCTGGAAAATGTGTTGTTGATGTTGTGCAAAAAATTGAACAACGTGGGGTCTGATCACTTGGTCGATATACCGCTGAGCAGTGACGCCGTGTCCCCGACCTTGACCAACATTCAGAAAGCACATGGGTCCAAGTCTCGCATTAAGTCCAATCCCTGCCCATATCATGACGTTAGGTCCACCCCATGGATCCCTTTCCACAACGTTTCTGTCAGCGAAACGATCACCTCGACGCCGCCAAATTCTGACTCTTCCGTCTGCATGGGAGACACAAAAGCGACTTTCATCAGAGAAGATGACACGCCTCCACTCACGATGACGCCAATTGTGATGACCATGTGCCCACTGAAGTCGTGCTTGTCGATGCCGTGGTTGGAGAACAGGACGACATGCTGGTCGGCGACATCTGAGGTTGTTGGAACGGAGACGTCAGAACACAGTGTCCCGGCTAATGTGTCGATAATGTGTTCCTATGGTCTGTCGAGCACTTTCACTTGCAGTTAGGAACGGATGTCGCTGGTGTTGACGGGTAATCTGCCGATCTTGTCGAGGTGTGGTGACCCTAGGACGACCG